TAATTATTGTTTTTAGCGTTATTAACTTTAAATATTTTTAAATTTCTAAAAGTGTCGTGATCACAAAGATAGACAATAAGAAGATAAAGTGTTTGAAATAAAATCATTTATTTATGGGGCCTGTTGGTCAGTGATTCTAAATGCTTAGCCAGGGGTCGTGGATTCGATTCCCATCCACAGCAAAAAATATTGTTTGGTCACCTGATGCTAAGGATAATCACAAGTGCGTTGACGCCCTTTCATACCCCCCGCCCTAGAATCATAGTAATGTAGAGGGGAGAGGGTTGGTCTCCGGTACGTTCGGTAACTTCAATCATTCCGTAAAGCAAAGAAAGAATCGCTTAAAACCGGTTTGTGAAGCACGGCTCTCCCTTTCTGGTAAGAGTCATTTCGAGTCACACGACCCTGACAGAGCCGGTCAACGCTTACACTAACCTTGTCTTAATTAAGAGAACCTTACGTGTTATAACTGGACTAAATGATTTGATTTCATACACAAACCCTTCGTGAAGATGATGCAAAAATAGCTGCAGATCTAATTATCTAATAACTACATGATTAACATTCAATGTTTGTGGTTTCGTGAAGTTTCGTTTATACATCACATTAGCTCATTTCATACAACCGGTCATCCCTTATTTTACCTCCTTAGAGGTGAAATTTAATCGAAAATCCTTTCTTATGTGTGCTTACAACATAAAAAGAATCAGCTGCCAAAAATACAAGTCAAATTAAAAGTAACGGGTAGTTTTTCACAAATCAATACTTTTATGTGTTATACATAGATATATAAACGAATCTTCACGTAACCAACGTCTAAATTAAGTAATAATATTTACAAATTTACTATTTAATTTAATATATATTTTAAACTATATATTTATTGTATTAAGATTTAAGCCGATAGTTCCAAATGTAATTATTAATTTTTCATATAACTTAGAAAACAACAATTTTGTCACAAACAAACAACCTGACATTTGAATGAATGAGTGAACGAATGAACGAACAAAACAGATCCTAAACAATGAAAGCTCAACAATTTCGTTCACCGATCTCCTTCATTACACGATAGACGCAAGATTGTGTTCTAAAATTATCGAAATAAAGCATAATTTTGGTCGGACCATGTTACGTATTAGCTTATACTAAGAGGTAGAGCATTCATCTTCCACACTCCAACACTGTTCGCTATCGTCTTTGACAAAAATTCACTACAAAACTTACAACAAATAAAATGATTCATTTTTCAAAAACTGTCATTCACTTCAATGCGTTTAAATAATGATGAATTGTAATAAACTGTATATTTCATCCCTTATGGGTGGTATTTTTTGGTTAAAATTTGCATGGCACCAAACGGAAAATAAAAACTTCCAAAGATGAAAAAAGAAACAAACCAACCAAACTTTTATAAACGATAGAGTTCTGAGGTAACATATATTAAAAAAATTAGACCGAATTAAGAACACATCCTTTTTTGAAGTCGTGTAAAATTGGCATTAATAATTCTTTGAGACAATCCTATAACCGTCAGAAGAGATAAGAATAATGCAAGAGAAGGAGAAGAAACATATAAGTGATCACTGTAGGTAATATCCGTTGGGCGACCTGAAATTCACTTTATTGTTTTGGAGCGAGAGCCGATATTTGTTTAAATTATAAATATTGAATGGCTGTATATTCAGTGCCGACGATGAAAAAAGGAAGATTGTAATATGTCTGACGTGACAACTGGACCTCAAGTTTAAATATTTATACCGATGCCAATGGCCACTCGATGGCATCTCAATAGCGTGTCAGTGGTATGACACTGGCTTGGCGTAAACATAAAATAGCAGAATTGAGGCCATGGACATGGACTGGACATGAAGAGCCTACATCCACCATCGAAGACCGTTTATCCAGATAGCCTGTGTTATTTGGGACGATGTTAATATTTTAAGCGAACATCTAAATCTGTTCAGGTATTTAGGAGCTATGTTGAAGAAACTTAAATATACATATAAATGAACTCTGACACATTGTACTGTTTTTTTTTGATAGTCGGGTAAAAAAATTAGACAGCGAAAAAGGGTAATTATAAAACATATTCTGGCTGAGAGGTGGGCTTTAGAAATAGTCAATTTATATGTAGTACATTCTTACTACAATGGGCAAGAAATTGATTAAAAATACTTTTTAGGCAAGTATTGTACTAGTATTTTTTATTGACGACCGGATGGCATAGTGGTTTGTGTAACGGACCGCTATTCTAAAGGTCGCGGGTTCGATTCCCGCTCAAGTCAAACATTTGTGTGCATCTTTTAATGTTTGATTTGGTCTGAGTGTTTCTATGTATATTATGTATGTATTTACAAAAAAAAAAGTATATGTGTATTTATATCGGTTGTCTAGTACCCATAGTACAAGCTCTGCTTAGTTTGGGACTAGATGGCGTTGTGTGTATGTGGTAGAATATTATTATTATATTACTAACAATAAAAAGTCAAAGACAAGAAAGTCTAGGTTAGTATTAGATTGGTATGTGTATCATCAACAGCCTTTAATAGTCCACTGCTGGACATAGGCCTCTCCTTAGAAAGGAGGTTTTAGCCTACTATGGCCTACTGGTAAGTGTATAATTATTCCTGTCAATTCTATCAGGTATGAAATCTTGACACATTGAAAAATGTTGCCTTGTTAACGTGTTTATCAAATCTTATTTGATTTTTAGTTTCTTTGTGTGTGTTGTTATTTAATGCTGTGTTTTAAGAAACAAATAATATTCTATTCTATACAAAGTCGATAGCGAACAGTTTTGTTTAACATACACTTAAGTACTATCAGATACAACATATAACACAGTATATAAGAAATGGGCAAGCTTATAGGACAAGGGCTGCGTACAGCAAGTACATAGACAAATATATTGACGGGCCTATTGCTTGGGTTCGATTCCCACCCAGGACAAATAACTGTGTGATGAGGACACGGTAATTTGTGTGTGTGAGTGTAATTTATCTATAATATGTATGTATTTAGACATATATAAGTATGTTTATCAGCAGTAGTTTGAATCAGAAGGCAGTTTGTGACATGTGTTAGGTTATTATTATTATTATTCGGCAGAAAATCAACAGAGTACAATATTTATGCCTTATTGATTTAATGACTTAAGTTTAGTTATTACAATGATATTTGGACCGCAAATTTGTTTAACAAAGACCTTTTGTATGATACAGCGGGACGTCCGGACTTGTCACCTGATGGTAAGCGGGTACCGTCGTATGGACACTCGAGGGTCCAAAAAACGTCAAGGCCTTTGATGTGAGAGTACGTTATTTTATATACAGGGTGTAAGGGACGGTGTAACGAATACTGAAATAGTGTATTCAGACCATATTTCTGTGTAGACGTAAACCATTGGAATTTTAGCCAGAAAATTCATTTTTTTTAATCATTTTCCATTTTACACCGTTTAGATATAGTATTTTGTTGATTTTTAAGCATTTTACATAAAGACTATATTCTTTTTTATTACACGAAGGGGGAAAAATACCATCGGATGATTGTTACCGTAAAACCGGTATTACGAACGACTTCCGGTGAATAATCAAACAGTTTCAAACCCAATAGGGGGATTTTATCAATCAGCGGAGATCAAAAAAGTACGTATTATCAGTCCTGTGTAACGAGTTGACGGGACAGGTCGCTTCGCTTCCTGATATAGGGCCCCTGTTGGGAGTGAGACTTCTAGTATATTCCTCATATATTTTTTAACAATGAATTTTAACGGAAATGTTTATTCTAATTTGTTTCAAGAATTTTTAAATAGATTTTAAAAATATATTTGCAATACTCACAATTAGACAGTCAACGAGACGATAGTTAACTATCACTAAATATCAGGATAGTTGTGATAGTTACATTGTATGTGCGACAAATTGCTACGTAATAATAATAACAAATGATTATATGTAAATATCACATAAATAACAATTATTAATAAATTTATATGAAAAATGCCCATTTAATAACATCTACGTACTATAAGGCAGAACATTTGTAGGATAGTCGGAAATGCGATTATTTGTCGCAATATTTGGAGCGACAAATAATCGTAACACTAACACACAACTACAGAACATTTAAAGAATAGTGTGTTATGCGTTTGTCACAAGAATAATTACGACAAAATAAACGCAATCGGAAAAGTGTGCGACAAAATAATCGCAAGACTAAAACGCATATCTACAAAACATTTGTAGGCAAGTTCAAAATGCGTTTATTAGTCGCTTCATAGAGTGCGACGAAATAAACGCAAAGCTAAAACGAATCTTATAAATAAAAATGAGTATATCGCTACAGTTGATTTAAAATAAAATATATATTTTTTATATATGGCAGCTCAAACTTAAGAATAAGTTTTTTTTCACAGTAGGTAACACAAGATATACTGCCTGGCCATTATGTTCAAAAAAATTTTTTTAAGAAAAGGATTTTATAGTAACTATTTCAATGTTGTGTTCTATGTCCCAATAGTGGGATCAACGGTGGGATTAGTCCCATAAATACACACTACAGCAAAACTTGTGTCATCTACTGTGAAAGTTAGTGTAATAAAATAAACTTGACGTACATTAAGTGCTTATAAATGATATCAGATCAGAACACAATGTGACTCCAAAGTTGGGGTCTAGTAAGTGCTCTGCCGTGCCAATCCCACCACACACACCACCACACCAGGGCTTTAATACTATTAGATAACAAACATCTGGGGTCTAACGGAACTAGACCCCATAGTCTGGGGCCTCCAGACCCCTTCTTGAACTAACCACTAGACCCCACCCTATTTTTTGTACTTTTAAGTAAAATAAGTGGCAAGTGTTTTCTTGAGACAGCGGATGAGATCAAACAGACTGTGCGTAATTTTTTTATGATTTAGGTGGAAAAAGAGGTCCCCTGATGGATAGTCACCTAATAACAGTTAGGAAAACACAACACAACAGTGGTGTTGTTTAACTGCGTAGTTCTATAAGGTAAGGGCGCTTTCCCTGTCGGGCGTCTCCAATTAGAGCAATCTGAATCTGCTGCCTCTCAATATGCATTATGTTATCATCTGGGACCAAACTTTAAAACAATCTAAGGCACTAGAAGTAGTATATTACAGTATTTCTGTATAAATTATACATACGACATATTCACTAATAAGGTGGCAAATAAGTGTTTTAAAATCTATGGTAAGTTATTTACCAATATTGTCGTAACTTGGTTTGAAGTAAAAATTCTTTGAAGTTGTGGCTTACAAAAGTGTTTGTACACGCATGTGCTTGTTTACGATATTAGTGGTAAACAACGTTCACTATAATATTCTTTTTAATAGCTGTCTTTTGTTGCGAAATTCAGCCGTGTGTAACTTTTCAAAACTATTTACTTAAATAACTGTTTATTAAAATAACTATTTATTAATCTCTTTGTTTTAGTTTCGTATCCCTTAGTTGAATAAATGTAGTCTAAAATATGTTTATGCTGTTTTGTCTAATTTAGTTTGTAAGTTTTAATAAATTAATAATCTTTTTGATGCAAAACATCTACTTCGGAGAGTCAGTCTGGCAGTTGGAAACGCGTTACCACAGCATGCGTGTGTTATGTTGTGTAACAGGTGATGCGGTGTGGCTACACTTTTAATTGTGCTATATTTATTATTTAATTTCATAAGCTATCTTTTTAAACTCATTTTTTTTTCAAAATAAATTCAATGTTCCATATCTGCCAGACGTCCCGCGACTGCTCAATTTATTTTTTCAAGGCTTTACCCATCTTAGTAATATTATTAACAACACCAATGTTAGAGACATACCTCCAGAAACTTTGTCCATATTTTAAATTCAACTGTAAAAATCTATATTCTTGTAACTTTCACGTGTCACGATAACTATCTTTTTGTCAGTGTTTTTAATAAGGAATAATTACACATCTTCAAACAAATTTCACTTCGAAAACTCATTCGCGCCAGCACGTTATCACAACTATTTATTGTCTGTCATGTTATATAATTTATACAAAAGAAAGAAGTGCAATACACAGTTATTTACAGCTATAACGTTATCGTTACGCTACACTTATAAGTTAAATAACGTTTTAAAAACCGTTACTGTTATTATAACGTTATTAACAGTTGACGATCGTATCGTTAGCATTAATATCGCTATCGATAGCTGGCAAATTATTAATAATAGAACTTATACTTTGATTATTATTATTATTATTTGAATTAGATTCATTCCCCTCCGTATTGGTAACTGTCATTGCTGGTGAATTTGTCGATGAATTATTATTATTATTAGAATTAGATGCGTCATTTGTAATATTATTAGAAGTACTGGCCATAGATCTATCTCTGACGGTGTCAATATTTGCCGAATCAATAGTTTCAACATTATTATTATTACCAGAACCAGACGCAACTGGATTATTGTTATTGCTATTTTCACCATTTAATTCATCGTAACAAGGTGGCATTTCCACATTATTCCTCGCTTCCTCATCCACCCTCGAGTTCAACCCTTCCCTACTCAAATATTCGGGGGGTGGTCCGAAAAACTTGCATCTCATAGCTTCGTTGTACGGTGGAGGTCTCGTACCGTCGGGTAATAGGGGGTAGTTTTCGAAATTCGCCCCCAACAACCTGATGGTTCTACCGTTGAGGGTGTAGGTGTCGTGTGATGTCATCCGAACGAAATCCAAATCATCGATGTTGATTTCTGCGACGTTTGGAGTGTCTGGTCTACGATCCGACTCGTTCCGGCGTCCGAACCTGGGTATGGACAGTTGAAACCGGCCGAGTTGCAGCGTCAACCGTTGTCTATCCAACTGGTCGATGACGCGTTCGATGCTAGAATTCCTGTTCCTCATAAGCTCAATCGGTGTCGCCATATAGTTCAAGTCTCGTCCGTAGTCACCGGTTTCTGGGTTTGTGAAGAAGAACTCTGAGGTGTTCAGATCGCAGTACGTCGGGCTTCTGTAGTTATCTAAGATTCGGTTCCTGGTTGGTGAATTGTTGAGGGATGTGGAGCGAACATTTGTTAGTTCTACGTCAGGTGGTTGAGTTGGCACCTATAAGAAATAAATTATGTTTTTTTTTTTGTTATTTTTATAACACCGAGGGTTGTAAAAAATATTTTGTGTCAAACGGGCAGTTTTGAGGTTGGGCAGTTGACGGGTGTCTGAGCTCATGGTAAATCCCTATCGCTGCCCATTGACACTTCAAGCGAAGAGAAACAAGTCTGCCAACTTACCCCCTCCGAGTCAAAGAGTGGACGGGGCTGGCCCTCTGGCATAATACACACACACACCAATAAAAATATATCGTCCCAACAGTCGATATACTGACAAGCCTGTTGTCTAGTGGCTAGTGACCCTGACGGCTGAGCCAAAGGTCGTTGGTTCGATTACCATTCAGGGCAAATATTATGTAATGAGCCTGACCATTTAATTATGATCAGATAATTATATGTATGTATTTGGTAATATATAAGTATGTTTATCAACAGCCTAGTTACCATATACAGGCTCTGTCTAGTTAGGTATCAGAGGGTCGTGTGTGAGATTTGTGAATTATTATTTATTGTAATGTTCTCGCAACAACCCTAGGCACGTTTAATTGTTACCCCCTAAACTGGCCCTTAGAATACTTCTAAGCTGAACATCGAATACACAGCTCCTTACCTGTCTATACCTAGACGAGAAGATAGCAGAGAGCCTGGTGAGTCCCCCACCAGACCGCTCCGCTGGGGGAGCTTCGGGGCCACACTCCGGACTGCACTGGTGGTACAAAAGAATACAGTTTCAAATTATAAAACGTTAAAAGATGCATTAAATCTGTCTAGTATAAAATAATGTACGAAGTTATTAAATGATATTTGATTCTACTGTTCGCTATTTCTCGCCGTATCGCAGATTTTCTTTTAATTTTAATAGACAACTCCGGCAATAGGAATATATCCTGTGTCGCGGGGGACTTTACAAACCTACATGAAACGGACACAAAGAACACCCAGACTCAGAACAACAATTTGTGGATCACACAAAATGTCGTCCCATGTGGGGTTTGAACCCACAACATTTAGCGTAGTAGAAAGTGGCGATGCGACCGCTTAAACCACTACGCCATCTGTGCAATCAAAACTAGAAAGTGTCAGAACTCGATAATTTCTAGTTACACACCGAATCGCGGCTGGAATATCGAGGCCTAGTATGTTATATACGTTTTAAAAATGTGTAAACGAAGTTTCATGATAATCGGTCAAGCAGTTAAGACTTGATCTCATGCGTACAAAGTCACATGCGCATTGTAGATATTATAGTCTATTCAGATTAAGAAAATAGTGACGCATCGACCAAGGGCCGCTCCCAGCCAATCAGCAGTGCTATTCTAGCGTACAGCGCTGCCAACGAACTTAGTTTGAAATTCGACCGGCCTTCGTCGATGCGTCACTATTTTTTTTAAAGCGAATAGACTATAGTTTAGTATTTACCTGTAGCGACGTGTCTCTGGCGGGCGACGCCGGGGCCCGAGCCTCTGCCTCCAACAGCCGAGAGGCTTCATAGCAAGGCGGGAACCGATGCGTCTGAAATATATATCTAAATGTTAATACGTAAACACAAGTCTTTGTACCTCTTTTTAAATGTTTTTATGAACAAGTGCACAAAGCTTACTTACATTTTTAGGGATCCATTACATATCCAGTGTATTGTGATGTATCGTGGTACAAATTTGATACAATGACAGGTCAAGTTATACTGATTTATAAAATAAAACGCGACATTCTTACAGGTATTTCATTAAATTTATATAGTGTGGAGCATCGCATTTTTTCTAAAGTGACCCCCCACGTACCTGCGCGTACTGCACGCTGTAGTGCTGGCGCGTGCGCTAGTGACCCCCCACGTACCTGCGCGTACTGCACGCTGTAGTGCTGGCGCGTGCGCTAGTGACCCCCCACGTACCTGCGCGTACTGCACGCTGTAGTGCTGGCGCGTGCGCTAGTGACCCCCCACGTACCTACACGTACTGCACGCTGTAGTGCTGGCGCGTGCACTAGTGCCCCCCCCACGTACCTACACGTACTGCACGCTGTAGTGCTGGCGCGTGCACTAGTGACCCCCCCACGTACCTACGCGTACTGCACGCTGTAGTGCTGGCGCGGGCGCTAGTGACCCCCACGTACCTGCACGTACTGCACGCTGTAGTGCTGGCGCGGGCGCTAGTGACCCCCACGTACCTGCACGTACTGCACGCTGTAGTGCTGGCGCGGGCGCTAGTGACCCCCCACGTACCTGCGCGTACTGCACGCTGTAGTGCTGGCGTGGGCGCTAGTGACCCCCCCACGTACCTGCGCGTACTGCACGCTGTAGTGCTGGCGTGGGCGCTAGTGACCCCCCACGTACCTGCGCGTACTGCACGCTGTAGTGCTGGCGCGTGCGCTAGTGACCCCCCCACGTACCTGCGCGTACTGCACGCTGTAGTGCTGGCGTGGGCGCTAGTGACCCCCCCACGTACCTGCGCGTACTGCACGCTGTAGTGCTGGCGTGGGCGCTAGTGACCCCCCCACGTACCTGCGCGTACTGCACGCTGTAGTGCTGGCGCGTGGCGCTAGTGACCCCCCCACGTACCTGCGCGTACTGCACGCTGTAGTGCTGGCGCGTGCGCTAGTGACCCCCCACGTACCTGCGCGTACTGCACGCTGTAGTGCTGGCGGGTGGCGCGCTCGGCGTGCGCGTAGCTGCGCAGCGCAGCACGTTTCATGTGCATCTTGCAGATGGCCGACACCAGCAGCACCACCGCCAGCATGAAGATCAGCGCGCACGCTGGAACACACACTATCTGTTACTTTCACAAAAGGGGATAACCGGAGCCGACCTCAAATAACATCGACAGCCTTTAATAGTCCAATGCTGGAGATAGGCCTCTCCTTGGACAGGAGGTTTTGGCTTACTATGCCAGCCAGACGGATTGATATAGGGTTTGTGTCAAGTTTTCCTTCTCTTTGCAGTGCTGTTGTCCTGCGTAGTTTGCTCCCTTAGTTGACTCTTACGACACCCACGGGATACATAGGGGTGGGGACACTCTTTATTCTTAATCTATCACCACACGGACCTCAAATACAATCAGGAAAAAAGCCAGAATAATGACGATATAAATTGTTTCCTTCGAGCGACTCACCTGTTACGGTATAAATGGTAGATTGTATGAACCCGTAGTCGTCCGGGGCGTGTCTGTCGTCGAACAGCGCCGGGTACTCCACGTCTACGTAACCTACAACATTTTAGTAACCGCACTGAAGTTTTTGAAAATTCCTTTTATATTGAATTGAGGAGCGAATGAGCTAGTCAATTCCTCAGTCAGGGCCTCAATTCTGCTATTTATTAACATACAAGCCACTGTCATTTCTATTGACATGCCAATAGCACCGGTCTAAATATCGGTATTCTACTAACATAGGTGCGACTGTGGAATTCTCTTCCCCACTCAATACGCGATAGCCCATGCTTAATTGTTTTTAAGAGGCGAATCAGAGAATTTTTCCTTTCTCAGCAGTAACAGACTAATATAATTATGTATGCATGTAGGTATTAGATATTTAATGTTACATATGGTTATTGATGTGTGAACTTGTGTTATAATATGGTTTATTTACATGATATTCGGTTATTTCGTTTATATTTCTATTTCTCTATATTTTCTTAAATTTACTCTGTACACACAACTCTCTCTTGTTGTGCTATCCTCTCTTCACTCTTGGGTTTGCTGGAAGAGAACTCAATTATGGGTTAAGCTCGCCTCTGTGCCCACTAGTCCTTAATGTATTTTTTATATAAATGTTTATATTGTGTACGTAAGATTAAATAAATAGATCCACAATATTGATGGAGTATTGATGAAGTGACAATGGCGCATCAATGGTGATATCAACTACATTGTCAATGTACAGAACTTAATAGAATGACGTAGAAGCTGATATAATTATAAATAGCAAGAAAAAGCAATGTATTACTATGATAGGTTACTAGGTAAAATAATTCCCATGTTCGACCCTAGATGGCGTTAGTGTCGAATTGAATCGCGTTATCGTTTGTCTACAACCATTGTATTTAAGCATACACAATACTTTTAATAAATATCTTGCTCTGAGGTACTGAAGTTTGCTTTAACGGGTATCACTGGAGTCTAGGCACTTTGTACCGATAGTGTACAGTCATATCTGGAAAATTAAATATACCCAAAAAAATGTAACGTTTACCAAACTATTGTAAAGGCATTGACAACAGTTGTATCAGTGGCAGTTTAATGTCAAGTCAACGAGATATCATTGGTTTTAGTCATAGTAGAATACGAAAAGAGTAAAATTATGCCGACGACATTCCGACGACATTCCAACGACAGTCTATTGATACAATATTGAAATAGCAGAATTGAGACCCAGATATTTAGTGCCGCCCATAGATGTCTGCAACTCAAGAGAGGCAAGTGTGTGGCCGCGCACCCCGACATCCCCCCCCCCCCCCCCCCCCCCTCTTGAGTTTAGTTCTCTGGCACCCTCTCACTCACTCGTCGAAAAGCAAAGAAACAATTTCTCAATACCCGTTTCCTATGAGACATTGGCATTGTCTGGAGAAAACTTGGGAGTATTCTAAGATCAGCATAGCACTCGTGAGTATAAGTTTCAGGTGTTCATGGGCGGCGGTAGTCACTTGCCATCAGGTGAACCGTCTGCTCGTTTGCTCCCTAGACCACAAAAAAAAAAACGGGTTTTTCTTTTAACTGATCACATACTAGAGGTTTTTTCGGTCATATGAAAATTTAAAAAAAAAGTTGAATCTCGTACCTTCCAGTCGCGAGTTATGTGGATGTTCATCGCAGCAAGAAGGCTGCTGACACAAGGGACCCACTGTCCTGCAGCAGGCCGCCTCCGATATACACCGGCCCGTCGAGCAGTTCAGCTTGTCAGGCCCTGGTGACAGCAGTGTTGCATAAGAATGAGAGAAAAATATATAGAAAAAACCTTACCACATTCCAAAGCATCCTTTCCCAGTGATCACCTGCGTCAACCGGTATGAAAGGGTTCCGTGATGCCTCTCGAGCCAATCCTCCATAACGGCTCTTACAGCGACGATAATGGCGTGCCCAGTGCTCGGTTGCCCAAGTCGTTCCGTCCATTCCTCCACGAGGAACTTGCGGAGTTGGGATTTCTGATCCTCGATTTCTCGAGACTCAGGACACCGAGCCAACTCCCGCGCCTCCTTGCCACTGATACAGAGCCGCAAGGGCTCTCGCCTCCAGGTCCCACGGTGGAGTTCCGGCCAGGAGACTCGTCGCCTCAAAAGAGATCGTGCGGTACCTCCTAATGACCCTGATGGCCAGCACTCGCTGCAGTCGTCGCAGTAATGCGACGTTGCTGGCCTTCAGGGCCTCCGCCCATACTGGGGCCTCATAAAGGCTGCATGGTTAGAACTATTTAAATGAACTCTCTCTTTTTTTTTCGAATGTTGGTGATTTTTCGTTAAAATCATGACAGTATGTATGTACTCACTAGAACATATATGCTGTGAGCACATGTGGGGCGCCTCGTCTTCATCATCAGCGCAGTCAGCTCGTCCGTCGCACACGTACTGGGGCGCCATACACCGTGTGCCACACCAGAACGTACCCCGGCCGCAGTACTTCGGACCTGACGGATAAAAATCTTGTCAAATACAAGGTGTTTTAGAAATTTGTGGTCAATTTTGAAAAGCGTTATATTAAGATCATTAATATATGCATTAGTTTAACTATCGGTACCTCCACAGGCGTAGACACAAGCATAGTAAACGCCCAATTTTGGTCAACTACACCTTAGGCCAATTGCGTTAAATTAATCGATGCTTTCCGACACCATCGATATAATATAAAATCGACTCATTCAAAGACCTGATATGCTCCATTGCTTACCTTACGATATACAACGACTTGCAAACATTCACACACACGCGCACACACACACACACACACATTGGTATCTGCCCTAATATTAATATGTAGATATTAAACAAAATGTATGCTTTTAATATCATATTTCATTACACTGGCTAATGAAACCAGTACTGTTATGTTGTTTGAAGACCTAAAGTAAACTATACAGGGTTTTCCAACAAGAAGTGTTATTTTGAATCACCCGATATTTCGGTAGCTGTCACTTTTGAAGCTTTTATTTTTTGACATTTGACAAGTAGAAACAAGTAGAAATTACTAAAAATGGAACGATACACACTTCAACAACGCATTGAAATTATTAAAATTCACTACAAAAATGGTGAAAATCTTGCAGTCACAGTTCGCAAAACTAAACCATTTTTTGGTCGTCGTGAAGCACCTTGTCGGACCGCAATACAGAAATTGGTGGAAAAATTCGAGCTGTTGGGACAAGTTAGTGATGCGAAGAATAAAACCCGTGCACGTCGCTCAAGAACAACTGAGAATATTGCTGCTGTAGCCCAAAGTGTTGAAGAAAACGCAGGTTTGTCCATTCCTCGTCGTTCTTTGGAATTGGGCATTCCAAAAACGTCATTACACCGTATTTTGCATAAAGACTTGGGTCTTAAGGCTTACAAAGTTCAGTTAACACAAGAACTCAAGCCAGCCGATCATCAACAACGTCGTGTCTTTGCTGATTGGGTACTTGAAATGCATGAAAATGATCCGGAATTCCATCGAAAAATCATCTTGACTGATGAGGCTCATTTCCACCTAGGAGGCTACGTCAACAAGCAAAATTGTCGCATCTGGGGCTCGGAAAACCCAAGAGTTATTGTTGAGAAGCCTCTCCATCCAGTTGGATGGTATTGATCTGGACAACGTTTACTTTCAACAAGACGGCGCTCCGTGCCACACAAGCAACGAAACCATTTTACGGGAAAAGTTTCCTGACCGTGTTATCTCTCGAAGAGGTGATCACAATTGGCCACCGAGATCTTGTGATTTAACACCTTGCGACTTCTTCCTTTGGGGCCACGTGAAAGATAAGGTCTACGCCAACAGCCCAGCGTCGATTCAAGACCTCAAAGATGGAATTCGTGAGGCTATCGAGGACATAGAGCAGCCACTTTGCGATTTGGTTATGCAAAATTTCATTAAAAGGATATGGTCCTGTAAGGGTGGTCGTGGTAGCCATTTGGCTGATGTTATCTTCCATTATTAACAGCATACCTTCCTCTTTATTATAAAATAAACAGCCGATTATTTATCTTAAAAAATTGCATTTTTCTTTGAATACTAAAATAACACCTCTTATTGGAAAACCCTTTACCTCATGATGATCACCTAAGATAACGGCACTTAGACAATTAGGAAGATAGGATGCTCTACTGCTTACCTCGAGATTGTACCAATATATATTTGGTGACGCTGAATGGTGGTGAAGAGCACATGTACTGGCCGCTGTCTGAAATCCCCACCTGTTCTTTGATGAAGGTTGAACTCGTGGAAGTGCTGGTCCCTGACCCGGCGTCCACTTTGTATGGTCTTCTGGAATAATAAAGAGTATTGTCAATTTTAGAATCCTGACCAGATTCAGAAATCCTGACCGGTGAACCAGAGGTTCTGGGTTTGATTTACACCCAGGATAAACGATTGTCTACTCGTCTGTAGATGGCCCGAGGTAAGTCGGGGCACCAGGGACTTCTTTTCTCGGGGCACCTGGTTCCCCGGCTATTAGTACCCGAGACGGCGTGCGGTTTTAGTCGGTTCAAGTCCGACATTCCACCATGACATGGTGGTATGAGGGGATTTCCGCACGGAAAAAAAAGGATAAACGATTGTGTGGTATCAACAAATATTTTTACATCCGACGGCTTGGAACCATCACTGTTTTCGTAACGTGAATTGGCTGTAGTGAATTTAATAAGGTCTCTTACATGCCAATAGTGCCATTCTCTGGTATGTTCCAAACGAACAAGCTCCGCGGAGTGGTCCCCCTCAGCTCACAGATCAGGGTCAAGTTGTCTCCCACTCTTCGCACCAGAACGTCCGTCCACTCCGGTTCCTCAGGACCATACAGAACTAAAGGTGGGGATGGGATGTCTCCTGTGCCTGTAACAAAGCAGAATTATAATGTACACGGTATCTACGTCAGAATATGCACACGTTTCGACTGAATTGCATCGAGCATCAGAATGTTTCAGATCAGTTATCGAAGGGTCTGTTGGTCTAGCGGTTAGTGACCCTGACTGTCAAAACAGAGGTCGTGGGGTCGATTCCCACCCAAGAAAAATGATTATGTAATTAGCACAATAATTTTTTCGACGTCTGGGTGTAATTTATCTATATATGTATTTTGAAATAAATAAGTACATTTATCAGTAGTCTGGTTACCATAGTTCAGGCTTTGCCTAGTTTGGGATCAGACAGGAGTGTGTGATGTGTAAATTTTTTATTATTAGGTCACGCCGGGGTCACAACTGTACATGTATAGTCTTGTAACTAAACTACAGATGGTTTAATAAATTACAATTAAATTGTGTTTATTACAATGTCTGTATACTGATTATTATATAGTTACGCTCAAGAAAGAAATAGCCAATTTGTCGGATTTACAACACTGGTTTTTATAATGAAATGATATTTTCATCATTTTTAGGGTTCCGTACGTCAAAAGCTAAAAAAGGAACCCTTTTAAGATCACTTTCTTGTCTGTCTGTCCGTGTGTCACCACCGACTTTCTCAGGAACGGGTAGCACTAGCAAGTTGAAATTTATTTCAGATACTGAGGATATTAGGTGCATAAAAATCAAGGTCCTGAGTCAATACGTTAAAAAAGTGCGGTTGACCTGACCTGACCGGTTTTTAGTGATGCAACAGGTCGTTCAACTCCTTGATGAAGGACCCCCGGCCGAGTCAGTAACGGGCGCGTATCGATTAAATAAATACATACGATAATGCAACGTACAACGCAAGTACATAGTCAGATTCCTGCTAGTTTTAATAAATTTAATTACCAGAACCTAATTTAAGTTGTTCTGATTCAAGTAGAAACCTGTTACGTGTGGGCAAAAAAAATTTCCAGGGGGAGTAGTTGGGGGGCCCACATTCCCAGGGAAGAGTGTCGGGCGGCAATGCACCAATGACTGCGTTGCCATCTGCTTGTTTTCTCGTTTTAATTATAATCCACAAATGAGGTGTGTATGAACTATTCCATACAATAAATCAATTATTTCAGAATAAATATTTCAGAAAAAAATCCTTTACTATTAACATGAGACCTTCCATCTTGATAAATTTGATGGCTTCTAGGTAAACAGGAAGTCTCTTTTAGGTCTCGATGCATCCGTAAAGGTCAAGTACATACGACGCGAATTGTCGTATTATTACGACTGCGCCGTATAGTCCGTGTGGTGTCCGATTAAGAATATGGAGTGTCACCACCCCTATTCATCCCATGGGTGTCGTTAGAGCCGACTAAGGGAGCAAATTACGCAGGACAACAGCACTGCAAAGAGAAGGAACAAACCCTATACTAACTCATCTGGCCAGAATGGTAGAGTAGTTTATTTTAGTCTTAAGAGAGCAGCCAGAAGTGACATAATAATAATCTTACACAGCCGATTGAACCCAAACTAGGCAGAGCTTGTACTCTGATAATCAGACTTCTGATAAACATACTTTTATTATGTTCCTTTATTTTAAACTTTGTTTATGTTCCTACATATTTGCACAGGCTAGCATATAGACGTTATATGAACAAATGAAAACTGTAAGAACATTTACAAATAAATAAAATTAATAAGGATTATATTTTATATAATTAATAAGGAACAAATAAATGGAATTAATAATTAATAGGATGTTTTCATGATCACATGGTTATTTGCACATTATCTATCCCTAAAAACCAGTTTAAACATTTTTGTCTGTCTGTCGGTTCCATTTAATCTTCAAAACGGCTTGACCAATTTTAATAATATTTTACTACCGGGTAGCTCTCATATACGGAGTAACTTAGGCTATTTTTCTCAGTAAAATCCCATAAAATGTTGGCAACACTTTATCAAATTCCATGCAGACAAAGTTGCTGTAACAAAAGAATCTCAATAACAGAGAGAATCAATTGCCAGTGGCTTTGCTTGGGTGATCATATCTTAAAAAAAAAATATGAACTTCCATAACCATTCATCCCTTATTATTATAATATTTTCAAACATCTAACACACCACCCATCTAGTTTCAAACTAAACAGAGTGTGTACTGTGAAAACAAGATTGACTGATAGAATACTTAAATACTTTTTTTGTCAATATTACATAGAAAACACCCAAACTCCGTAACAAATATTTGAAAAACATACAAACATTTGGTCCAACCCTAATAGAACGTTAGACCTCAACACAGCATTGGCAAACCCTTCCACTGCACCACCAAGGCAGTCAGTATCTTCAGGGTAAAATTGCTAAATATCTCTTATAAGTGGGCGCATGCAACATAAAAAGCATAAGCTGCCAAAATTTCAAGTTTTTAGGCCCCAGCAGTTTAGGCTCGGCGTTGTTGCATAACTCTGTCAGAGCAAATTATTTATATGTAGTTTCACTATTCAAAGTAAGTTACAACAAGACTCATAAGACGTATAAATTATGTATAATGATAAACAGATGCACAATCTCACGGTACACACACATATACAATGCGTTGTGTATACTTGTAAATGTGTAAACATACAAAACAAACTTAGTCTAGTGCAAGAATTGTCACAATAACTATAACATTAAGTAGTTCCAGGCCCTTGTAATACATCAAAACACTTTAGAACAGCCACAAATGTAATTTTAATTTATCATTTTATGACACAAAATCTACTTTAAGAGAAAATTTGTGTAAGCAAATATAGACCTTAGACATGTTTACATGGAATATAAAAGTTCGATATCAATATTTTATGGTGATTCTGTTGAATATTTAATGATCACTCTAAGAATAGTAGAACAAAAGTGAAAGTAATAGAGTTCGCATAAAAATACCGTTAGAGATGTGCAAAAATATAGGGAAAAATTTATTATGCGTAGTTGTTCCACAAACTGTGAAACCCGGACATAAATAAACGAAAACCTTGCCCCTAATTGATAAGCAACACACAAAGGCAGGGCCAACTAAAATTCAAGGACAGAAAACCTGAAATTAAAAGCCTTAAAATGATTTTGGACTAGCAAAATTTCATATATCCCTCAATTCTGTTTTGTAAAGGTATAAGATTTCAAAATGAGTACTTACATGTTTTTGGACTAAACAGTAGTAAAATAACACAGGATAACAAACAATACGGCGAGGAAAACATTTTATTTACTATTCATTCACACATTTTCAATTATTGACATTCAACATATTTCGCCATTTTTGTTTCTGAAGATAATAACGTTACATTTCGTTCAATGAAAGGTTTTATTCAGTTCTATAAGTTCTAATCATTAATAATTTAATGGATTTTTTAATAATTTAAATGATTACACAAAACAAATCAACAAAATTGTTTGTTTTTTGTTAAGATTCTTTAGTATAAAGTTTTTTTTTTAAATTTTATTGAAAATAAAGTGGCATTTGGAGAAAAAAAAAAAGTTACTTTTCATGCCTTTAATAACTTTATTTTCAATAAAATTAACTTAAAAAGCAGACAATAAAATTACATGTTTAAAAAGAGCGATTTAAATAAACAAAAGGATGAAAATGAGATCTGAACTCTGAAGTATTATTGATGCTTTTGGCCCTTTCTCTCAATCTCAAATTAATGTATTAATGTAGTTTTTACGAGTAGCAGTAAATAGAATACATTTTATTTTGACTCCGAGAGCATGATTCTTTTTGGACAAAAAAAAATATTTTTACAAGTGAATAAAATGGAGTGTAAGAGACATTGCTGACATTGACAACTAAAAGCTTTTTAGGTAGTTAGCTAGGTATAAATAAAAGGGTAAAGAGGGAAAGAAAGAGATAGCTACACAATTTTTAATCGGAAAGACAAGAGTCAAAATAACTTTGATGCTAAAAAATTAAACATTGAAACAATTTGTCACAGTGAGCTTATGTGTGTTGTGATTCACGAAAACTACGAAAAGTATTATCGAGACTCAGACTACTTACTAGAGTTTGCAGTTATTAATTAGAATTTCCTTACAGAATTATCTTCAAATACAATAGACAATGGATTTAAATAGGTTACCTAACGACGAGAAACTGCAGCTATGTAAATGGTATTTTAAAGGTTTGTGAAATGTTACAATTTAGTACTAAAGTATTTCACTTTCTATCGTTTTGAGACTATTTGTTTATATATGTATAGATTTAGATAATATAAATGCCATTATTGCTTTTACTATTGAGTGCGCATGTTTACTGGTTTATGAAGGTAACAAAAAGCAAGGATTCAACTTTTCATATATTTATAAACCAACATAGTAGTAACTTCTCATCTAATTACTACTTATAATGACTCCTAACACACCGCTGTCTGATCTTAAACTATGATAAACATACTATTATGATAATAAATACATAAACAGATAAATGACATGAAAATATGTTGTGGGTAGGAATCAAACCCATAGCCTCTGGCTCAGAAGTCAGGATCACTGACAACTGGACTGAAGGTCTAGATATTAAGCACAATAAACCAGGGCCTTGATTCTGGTATATTATGTTAACAGCAAGCCACTGTCATTCCATTGACACACTATTGAGATGCCATTGAGACGCCATTGAAATCGGTCAAAATATCGGTATTCTACTAACATAAATTCACAGTGCTAATAGACTGTTCAAATATATATATAGGTCATTAATAGTGATATCAACAACATTACCATAGCATGAAAATTAAATATATTATTTTCTTACAAATTTAAAATGTACCGTTTACCAAACTATTACAAAGACATCAACGACATTTGTATCAGTAAAAAGTCATTGGGCTGCCATTGCTCTAATATCAGCATCTATAGTTAGTAGAATAGGAAAAGTGCAAAACTATTCCGACGACAATCCATCTACAGTAGGAGAATTGAGGCCCAGTTCTATGGTATAATTACAGTTGGGTGTTTGCTGCTACCGTTTGTGTGGGCTGTGAACGCCGTATGGTTCTTCAGAGATGCATTCATGAAGCCACAATATGAAGAACAGAAGGAAATTAAGAAATGTAAGTATATACTAATCTTTTCATCATGTATTTTGATTATACATAATTACTACATCTGTGTGGTGACAGGTTAAGAAAATAGTGTCACCACCCCTATTCATTCTGTGGGTTTGACTAAGGGAGCAAACTCTGCAGGACAACAACACTACAAAGAGAAGGAAAACTTGACACAAAGCCTATACCAACCCGTCTGGCCAGCTTGGTATAGTAGGCCAAAACCTCCTTTCTAAGGAGAGGCCAGAGGGAGAGAGTGTAGGTGAACTATAGATATGTGTACTTGAGGTGTTGATGATGATGGTATTAGTGTAAATGTTGTAATATTACTTTATGTTACAAGTGTAGTTGTGATTACCTTTTCCTTGTAATATTAGTTAAGTGTATCATTTGTTGGTATTCCATAGAAATAAAATTAATAATATCTTCTGTAAAATAACATCTTTGTGACATTATGTTAAGTCACAAACATAGTGTGATTGTCCTGTCAATACATACACAATTGTTTTTTTAACCGACTTCATTATAGCACACGTGGTCTCTGTTTGCCTAGAACCGTTTTTTTTAACAAATGTTTTCATTCAACTAATATCTAAACATAATGAGTACTAGGTAAGTGTTAAAACACATACATAATACAAGCTATTGCCCGCGTCTCCACTCGCGTGTATCACAGTTATAGGGGTAAAAAGTAGTCCATGTTACTCGCTGATAATGTAGCTTTTTATTGGTGAAAGAATTTTAGAATTGGTTTAGTGGTTTAGACGTGAAAGTGTGACTAACAAATACTGACTGACTTTCACATTTATAAAAGAAGTATGGATTATGCATTGTGAACAGAAGGCAAGTGTTAAAACACATTTATTTACTGGCCTGTTGGTTTAGTGGTTAGTGACTGACTGCTACGCCAGAGGTCCTGGGTTCGATTCCCACCCAGGACAGATAATTGGGTGATGAACACGAGGATTTGTTTTGTGTCTGGGTATACTTTATCTATAATATGTATGTATTTAGAAATATATAAGTGTGTTTATCAGCAGTCTGGTACCATAGTACAGGGTCCGTCTAGTTTGGGATCAGACTGGAGTGTGATATCTGTGAAAATATTAAAATATAATTTTGTTTATTGTATATTATTCTTCTTTCCAGATGTGGTAATGAGTGGCTGCGGAGCAATCGCCTGGGGCTTAATACTCGGAGTGTGGATTCTCATATTCCAATTGCAGAGAGTGTCGTGGGGAGCCACTGGAGATGCTCTATCGTTTATAGTGCCTTTAGGACGAGCTTAACTATAGCGTTGAGACAATCATGAACTGCAGTAACCATTGTTTTAAATTTATAATGTTAATGTGTGTGTTGGCGGGAAATAAAGTTTAATCTATAAGGCCTGCGTAGATAAGGGACTTTTGTCAGCGGAGGACAAAAATCCTTGAATCTTGAATAAAATGTCCGCCAAGTACTTGCCACGGATTTGGCGCACACGGTGTGCCATCATTTGTACACCACACGTACGTCACTCTCGAGCGCTCAACGCGGACTAAAGATCGCTGTGCGATGCTGCGCCTAGTAAAGGGCTATTTTTTTTTGGTACCTAGGTAACTATTCCGTACTCCTGTCTAGAGTCCATTAGCATTAAAACAAGTGACGCATCAATCAAGCCCCGCCCCCTGACCAATCAGATTCCAAGAAATTACCGTTTCGTATGAAAGCTTCTAACTTAATCTTGATCGATGCGTCACTATTTTCTTAACGCAAATGGACAGTCGTATTGTTTTGTTTTGTTTTGTTTTGATGGCATTTTTTTCAATTTTACCTACTTTTTAGTGTGGTTTTTTCTCCCTCCCTTACTTTATGATATCAATGCGTCGCACCAACATATATATATATATATATATATATATACACGCACACAATCACACACTTGAATGGCTTCCAGCAGACAACACCCAGTCTTATGGGCTGCAGCTGAAAACCAGCGTTGGAAGGCACCTGTGGCCATCCAACAGTATGCTGAGCTGCAGACCTATTGGCACTTTTTGTAAGGAATTTTGCATGTGCCAATAAATTTTCTTTCTTTCTTTACTTATCCGTTGTGCGCGTTGTATGGAAACTATTTTGAAGGACGACACAACCCGCCGGGGATTGACCTTAGTTTGCGCATGCCTGTAGTGTATTTCTGATAATGTCTCTGAACATAGACTATAATATATATTACACCCTTTTATGAATAATTAAAACAAAAAAACTTTGTGGAAAAAGTTGATTAAAATTACATACTTACGGAAAAGTAGGTTTAGAGTAAAAGATTTAAGCTATTCGTAAGAAGGTGCGAAATATAATATTTGTTAACACACATTTATTTATTAAACTTTTATCTTATATTTTTGTAACAAACAATATTAAATAGATTAATTAATTAATATTTGAGTAGGGAATTATTAAAATATGCATCAGTTTGTTAACTAAAATATTAAGCAAATAATATTATTAGTTGCTTGTGTGCAGCATTAGCATTAAAAATAAGATACCATTCCAAATTACTTCTTTTTGTTGTGTTGGGCATTTTGGAACAGCAAAACAAAACAATGTACTTTTGTTTTAAGATGGGAACTTGCGACACTGTTACCGTTACCGACACCTCTGAATATATTGAAGTGAAAACTTTAGACTCGTTGGGCATTTTTTGAGTTGTACTCGCGACAATTACTGTTACTGACACCTCTGTATATAAGTTTTCATTTTTGGCGGCATTCTTGGAGTACCGCTTTTTTTTTATTACACATCTTACACGGCAGCCTGACCCGAAACTAGACATAGCCTGTACTATGGTAACTTGCTGATAAACATACTTATATATTTCTAAATACAAATATATTATAGATAAATGACACCCAGACCCAACTAGTGATCGTGCTCATCACACAATGAATTGTTGTGGATGGGAATCGAACCCATGACCTCCAACTTAGCAGTCAGGGAACCAACCAACTTCGAAGCAGTGACGTTGATGATACATGATAATAAATAATAATAAACTGAATTTATTCTTTAATTTTTATCCTTAGAGGTGGATTTTTACTTAAATCAAATTTGAAAATAAATAATAATAAACTGAATTTATTCTTTAATTTTTATCCTTAGAGGTGGATGTTTACTTCAATCAAATTTGAATGGAACCTAATGGGAAGTATAACGTTTCAATTAATTACCAAATCGGTTCATATATGTCACATGTACAGTCGTATTGAGAACAGCCTTCTTATTTGACGATGGGTAAAAACCTATATTGATCAACCATGGTCATAGCTAATTAAAATTCTGAAAAGAACAAATTAAATAAATAAAACGGAGTTAAAATGAAAATTGTATATTTATTTAAAACATTAATTATTTTGTACAATATATACAATACTCATTAAGACACTATAAATGCTAACATAGGTTATTACGTCACAAAACATGAAAGACCCTGGATACTGGTGTGTCAACAAATAGTAAATTAAAAAATAAAATCATAAAATTAATTAAAAAATTACGAACGTGTTATACAGATTATACTTAAGCATACAGATAATATAACAGAGGGAGCCAACTGTATATTCCTCTGTAAGTGGTAGCGTACGACCGTTAGACAGAGAAAGAATATTGTTTTGGTCTTGCATCTCCCCTCTTTGCACTGATCGGCTGATACTGAAGAGGGCTTTTAAAATAGCCAATCAGTGACAAGAGCAGGGAGAGAGATCAAATCAAATCAAATCTTTATTTGCCAACCAAGTGTACATCAATGATCTTATAATATTATATGTAGTAGTCCCAACTCAGAAGCCTTTTCCAGGCATTGCAAAAATTTGAGAGAGAACGCAGAAGAATAAAACAATACAAATTAAGTGACTCAATAGTACAGTATAACAATCGAATAAAGCATGCAAAAATACGAAGGCACCCGACATTCTACATCACTAATACATATACACATTTTCCTACTGTCCCTAGCATTTCCGAGCATCACGACCGATTTTTCTTTTTATGATTTGTACTTAGGTATATGCTTTCTGTTTTCCGTGTAATAAGAAATGTAGTTTGTTAAGTGTTTTTTTCCTCAATGTATTCTTTAACAGAATAGAAACATTTTGTAATTAAGAATGCTTTTAGTTTTTTAATGAATAGTGTAGTCTTCGTTTCATTTTTTATGTGGATAGGTAATTTGTTGTATATTTTTACAGCCATGTAGTAAGGGCTCTGGTGTAGCATTTTAATTCTTGATGGTGGTAGGTATAGTCTGTCTCTGTGGCGTGTGTTTAAATTGTGATTGTCTTTTACTCTCGCGAAGTGACTCATGTTCTTGGATACAAATATGCAAATGTCAAATATGTATAATGATGGTAGTGTGAGGATGTTATATTTAATGAAGAAGGGCCTACAACTATCACGATTTCCAATTTGTCCGATAATTCTAATACATTTCTTTTGTAATATAAATAAATCCTGAAAGTGTACACTGTTTCCCCACAACATAATGCCGTATCGTAACCAGGAGTATGCGTATGCGTAGTATGCTGACAGTGCGGTTTTTTCGTTTGTGCTGCATTTAAGTTGGAATAGAGCATATGTAAATCGAGACAGTTTATTTTTTGTATGTTCGAGATGCAAGACCAAGACAACCTTCTTTCTCTCTCTACCACAACCGTATGCGATAGCGCCTTGTTCGCTTCCTCTATATTTATAAGCTCTTGGTACTTAAGCCCCGTTTTCACTAGGAGAACTGTAGATGTCGCTGATAACAAACGCGGGTGAAATGGACTGGGACTTAAGATTGAAAACTTGTATTTTTTTACGTAATAGGATGCAAACGCTCAGACGGTTTACCTGATATATACGTAAGCACCTGCAACTCTTGCGATACAAGTGCGTTATATCCCCGTGTGCTCTCTCCCAGAATTAGGGGGGATGGTTGAGCTTTGTCAAAAGCAGTAAAACAATTGTTAAAACCGGTTTCCTGTATCTTATCACGCTCGTCGTGCCGGCCCATATCTGCCGGTATTTTTTTGTTTTATTTAATGGAAGAGGGACTATCTAGCAAACGGGTCACCTGATGGAAAGTGACTACCGCCTATGAACGCCTGGAACTTATGCGCATTATTGACCTTTGAGGAAGGAGTACGTTTTTTCCATTTAAAATGTACCTACATGGTCTTTTTGTCATTGGCTTATTTAAAATTCACAAAGTCCCCAAACACTTTTTTTAAATGAAAAACTAACTTTTGAGTCGTTATAATTACACAGAAAAGAGGTTTGTTTATATTTATTTATGCTGTATGTTACACTATATACAGCTACCATCAAAAGTTTCAAGAAATAAATAATTTACTGAAATTCTTAGTCCATTCGCGTTAAGAAAACAGTGACGCATTTTTTTTACGTAAGAGTCGGCAGACGAGTAGACGGGTTACCTGCTGGAAGGTGACATTCGCCGCCCATGCACGTCTGCAACTCAGGAGCCACAAACGCGTTGCCGGCCTTTTAGGTTACCTAACCTTGGTTTCAAGGATCAAGGGCCACACCTTGCCCAATTACTAATTGGGCAAGGTGTGGCCGTTTCGTACGAAAGCTTGGAACCTAATTGGCAATTAGGTTCCAAGCTTTCGTACGAAACGATAATTTCTTGGGGGCGGGGCTTGATCGATGCCTCACTATTTTCTTAAAACGAATGGAGTAAGATATCTAGTAGTGTAACTGTACATATAAAATAATTTTATCCTAGAATTTAATACTCAATTGATACTGACAAAGGTTACTGATTTGAGTACATATACAATATAAATATACACATATAAACATTATAGACATATCAATAAATTGGTACTAATTCCACTCGTCTAATAGCTGGTAGGAGGTCATGCATTCCACAACCGTATAGTTTCATAAGTGAATTATAAGTTATACATTCAGTGTGGAATGCAATACCATGTTGAGTCAAACGTTCAGTTGACCTTGGATATTTAATATGGATAATAAAAGATACTGTCTACTTATTAAAGTAAAATTAGTTTTTAAGAAATTTTGTAGTCAAATTGACACAATTTCAATGCATTAAGGTCGTATATAAGTCGCATTTAAGTCGTTTAAGATTATTTATCATGTAAATTGATGAAAATAATTACCAAATACTTCATTTATCTCTTCATATGCTCTTTCTTTTCAATAGTGTTAGAGTGAGACAGCTGCTCTCGAAAATAATGTCGAAGATTATTTCAGAGTCCTCTATGAAATAATCTTTAATTAATAAAAATATTTTTAAGAGCAGCTGTCTTTGACCACGCCTAATGATAATTGATTTATATAGGTTTATGATAAATAATATAATATTCTGAAACATTACACAATCTAGTGTCAAACAAGGCCTATACTGTAAACTGTAAAACACGGATGCATACATATTTCCTTTTGTATGGGTACATAGAGACAAATGGACAGAGATGTCCTTTACTCATGCATATTTGCAGTGAGCGGCAATGGAACTCATGTCAACTGATATTGCAGTTCCACCGCCGCGCACCGTTAGTCATAACATATATAAAATAGTAGCACAGTCTTATAAATTAAAAGTTCAAAGTTTTTAATATATTTTGATAAGAGAGGGTAGGAGGAAATAAAACCTTCGCTAAACCAAACTCCAGTCAAGTCTAGGTAATATATTACAAATCCGCAAAATCATTCAATCAAATAGCGACTCTTGTTTCAAAATAATACAGTGCGATTCAGATTGCACATACCTAATCACCTCTAGTTATATTCACATGGAAGTAACCTCTCTTTCTATCTCGTAACTTCTGACGAGTTTTGAATGCCCGTTTCTACTCTTTCGATAATAATAAGTGGCCGATACTATATGATATGCTTTTGGCTTCATCATAGTTAAGTAACAACTATCGGACGTCATGACGTGGCGCGTGACTATAAATAAATAAAATAAATAAATAAATATTTCGGACGTCTAACACACAACGCCATCTAGTTTCAAACTAAGCAGAGCTTGTACTATTAAAGCTAGATTGACTGATAGAATACATATATACTTTTTTTTCGTAAATACATACATATTATACATAGAAAACACTCAAACTCCGAAACAAATATTTGAAGATAATTCAAACATTTGATCCGTCCCGGGAATCGAACCCAAGACCTCAGCTCAGCAGTCGCATACCTACCTACTGTACCAACGAGAAAGTCAGTATACAGTCTCATGTTAGTATCGCACCAACGTGCGACTACACGTACTCGTCGGCGGAGACATATTGACGCACGTACTTGTAGCGTTATATCTACAGTGGGCCATGTCTATTAATACTAATATTCTCGTTTACTGTTCGAAATATACTAAATGCTTGTAAAAGGAATTGTATCGCTTAAAAATCGTTATCGTTTAAATTTTATGTATTAAGTTTAGTGTCTTGGCCAAGGATTGAATCCATAGTTTTTAAGTTAGTGTGGTTTTAGGGGACATTCATTAAACGTACTTTGGAGGGGATTCTTAAGATGTGAGTATCTCAGCATTTTTTTTGAAGAATTTTATCTAAAATTGGAACAATTATCAACGTGACTGTTGAAATTAATACCCCAATGAATAACTGTCAATTGCTGACAAACTTTGAACCTTGTATTATAAATTATTCTATGAAGAATTACTGTAAGTTAATCAGTTAATGACATCATCATCATCAGCCTATCGCAGTCCACTGCTTGACTTAGATTTTGGACTTCTGATGACATAATCAGGTTGAAACTACATTTATAATTTGTCAACATTTCTATCTCTGATGGTCATTTTTATGTATTATATTATTACGTGTAAGAATCAGAATTACCTTGACACATGTCACACACGGCCGTCTGATCCCAAACTAAGCAGAGCCTGTACTATGGTAACCAGACTGCTGATAAAACAAATTACATACATATTTAGTTAAATTAGACCCAGACAGAACAAATCACCGTGCTTATCCCAGAATTGTTTGCCTTCAGTCACTATCAACTTCTAGAATGGTCTGTCAAACATTAGATATATTTTAAAGTACTAAGTCCAATATAAAAGTGAGATCATCGTTTGAATATTCCAAACCTTTAGAGGAATATAGCGTTAATTGGTTCTTAAGTCGTTATTAAACTAAGCATCTTATACATGGATATTGAAATGACGTACTAAATTTCACTAAACTTTTGTCAGATATAGTCATTACACTTAAAACTAATATATATATAAACAGGTAGAACTTAATAAAATATATGTGCATTCCATAGATGTACCGCTTCATCTGTGTGTGATATGTAGAAGAAATTTGTGGAATGCACTTGTATTAGTTTGGAAAAAAGTTGAGTCGAGTTGGAAGCCACGAGAGTGTCTAGAGAAGGAGGAAGAAAGTTAGAAGGAAAGGAGACGTCTCGCTTAGCATAGCGAGCAGGAGTTTAGGTGGAGTACAGCTGTAGTAAATCAATATGATAAAAGAAATATAGGTAAAACAACTGGAGTCTGAAGAACTATTACTTGCTAGCAGCAGAAGACCAAAGTTCAATCTGAAAAACTCATGTATAATATTTTTTTGTTTCGGTTCGATAGATGGCGTCCTACTATTTATTGAATCACGTTATTAAGTCACCGTCACAACCGCATATAAATCGCATTCTTAAAGGCAAATTGTGTGCTTCAATGAAAGAGTTTTAATAACTAACCATAATACCGTAGAATACGCAAAATAATCATCCATATAATATAAAACCTGGAAATATTTCGCTAACGTAATGAATAAATGACCCCTTAAACCTATATTTGAAATAGAGACATACAGTATAATATAATCTATCGAAATCTTATCAAATTCTGGCAGTTCGATGTCCATAGTGCGAGGAGTTCACTCGACCCTGACGCGAGGGGGCGCCGCTATCCGCCTCTCCTGGCGCAGGCGCAATACTTCGCTTCGGGCTATCCTGTGAGGACAATTCAATATTACATAACTCACCCGTACAATACATAAAGTTAGAGAGCTCAGATTGTCCAGCAAACCGTTTTTCCCATGGGTTGTACATGGCATGCTCACGAGTCTCGAGTCAAAAAAATGTTTACGTGTTAGCTAAAGGAACAATAAACATTCCAGTATTAAGATTGACTGACCTGAGTAATAGGAACAGAGCCATGAAGTTACACGCTATGAGCATATAAAACACATGTGTCCAAGAATGACTGGATACAACGCCTGCTAACATCGGACCGATTGCAGCACCTGTTTAGATAAAAAGGCAATGTATTAACGGCAGACAAGTTATAATTAAGTGAAACATAATGAGTACTAAATAAATGTTTCTAAGTGACTTTCTCAAGTTAGTTTTGGAGAATGTTATCCAAACTACATTTATACGAAGTCTGATTTCGATACGACAATTAAATAATAATTACGTTAAAACTGTCTTCTAAGATTAATTTTCATAGTTAGCTACAAGTGAAGGAATATGTTCAGCAGTGGACTATTAAAGGCTGTCGATGTGATACGATGTGAAGCTAATAATAGCGTGTTAAAAATATAATAAAAATAATACCATAAAAAATAAGTAACTAATAAACAATGGTTTAAAATGAATATATCCAATAGATAGGCATAAAGAGCATTTTGCTAAAAACCTGAAATGCCATCAGTCATCATCCAACAGCTTTACATAGTCTCACAATATGACCTGGTAATACTTTTTATGAAATCAGTTGGTATGTAAATGAGCGTGTACAGACCGACGCTGCCGGTGCCGTCGATGATGGCGGTGACGGTGGCGAGCGCGCGCGCGCTGCCGGCGAGCGAGTGGTGCGTGCCGAGCTCCGCGCTCACCGCCGTGGTGATGAGCGCGTACGGGCCGTTCACCAGCGCGCCCGTCAGCACCAACAGCACCACGTTCACGCCGTACGACGTCGCGCCGAACAGCTGGTACGCGAACAGCTGAGAACGACTTCTCTATTAGGCGACCTGCTCGAGGGTTACTATCAAATACCGCTTATGTGAGAAAGATACTATTAGCAATAGAAATGGACGACTGAAACACGATTTTGGCATAAATAAATCTTGCCGAATTATCTATAAAATGTCTGCTTAAGTGACTTAAGTTTTATGGTTTGAGTTCATACATATATAATACTTTATTATGATATTGGTGTATCTTGACGATGTGATAATACTTAGTAATGGTTAAGAACAACACGTTTATTTCGTATGAAGAGTATTTGATGATCTTAGTCTCTTTTTATTTCAGTAACCTTCACCAAGATGCTGTTCACCTCTTTAGGTCTATCGTGAGTACTATATACTGAGTTTAAGTTAAGGTTTAAACAACTTTGACTTAAACTTAATAAGGCAAGGATATTTGTTGACTGAATAACAGTAAACTACATGTACAACCATAATTCGTGAGATTTAACTTATACACGTCTTCGTACTTTATAACAACCTGTAAACAGAAAAATGCGCGGCATGAAATTCTAAAGATGTAGATGGAATAGGAATGTCATAAATTTATAACCAGCCTCTCCTCATATAAGCTTACCATAAATTTAAACATTTGAAACTTAAACTTACCATGGGAGCACATACAGTGTAGAAGCATACGCAGACCAGGGCAGGACACGCGGTACAATCCGCAACCAAACCGGCCAGAATGGCCCCCACCACTCCACCCACATCGAACACTGTACTCAATTCGCCTGACTGTTTTGCTGATAAGTTTGCTGTGAATAGACATTATATACCACGTCCTTTAGAAAGTGCCAAAAACTTTATCCATCTCTATCATACATGTAGATCTATCATTGTATATAAACCTAACACATCTCACTCATGGTAGTCTGATCCCAAACTAAGCAGAGCCTGTGCTATGGTGACCAGACTGCTGATTAATATACTTATATATGACTACACACATATTATACACCGAGACTCATCACACAATTATATGTCTTCGGTGGAAATCGAACCCACGACCTCTGGCTTAGCAGTCAGGGTCACTAACCACTAGATCAACAGGCCAGGCAAAGTGTATAGAATGGCTTTATTCCTGATCATCGTTGCCCCTCTTGGTAATTTCATGACAGATGACATGATGAGAAGGTATATTGGAGGTTTAAACCTTACCTGAAGTATTGTGAATGTAAGCCGGCAGCCAATACAAGAACGTATAACTGACGAGTTTGGCGAAGAACAAGGAAAGAGAGAACTCCAAAACTCCTGGAATGGCGAGAGCGCGGCTGAGAGACACGGCACTGCCGCCTCTATCAGCTCCCGCTGAGGGAGATCGGAGAAGAGATGTACGTTCAGTCGCTTCTTCGGGCTGTGAAATAGTAGAATTGTAGTTAATAAGGTCTTCATTGTTAGATTTTTACTGTGTATGTTTGTGAATATTTCTGTTATTACTGCAACGATTTCAACAAACCTATTTTAATTTAATTTTACTTGATTTGGCTCTACTTAAAGGTGTGTTCCTATGTGAATCTATACTAATTATTTTGGTTTAAGATACCCCATTTATCGAGCAAGGCTTTACAACATCACGCTATGACCAATAGGAGTCGAAAATCAATGAAAATGGTTGCAAAAACGTTTTTTCTTTGGTAACTTTTTTCTTAATAATTGATAGACAATATTATTACAGATTAATAAGTCAGTACTCACTGGAGAGGTGTTAGCAGAGTGTCTGTTGGGACGTAAACTTGCAGCCTGCAGGGCAATAAAAATAACTAATAATAATATTACTTTTAATAATTAAAATAGAAAAACAATTATTACGATACAATAAAAATAGAAGCCGTGGGAGAGCCATGCATCGTTACAAATGTACCAGCTCGACCGGAGTGATACACGACCTTCAAACCTTCAAGAGAAGAGTGTACTTATTCCTAAAATAATATAAAAGGCCGGCAACGCGTTTGTGACTCCTGAGCTGCAGACATTCATGGGCGGCGATGGTCACTTTCCATCTGGTGACCCGTCGGCTCGTCTGCCCCCTTTAACATTAAAGAAAAAACCACTGCCTCGCAGAAACCGGTGTAAAGCAGTTCTTTCGTTGCTTTTCACCGAGTTAGTGGAATTACCCCATCTAACCACCACGCTATATTTTGGGAAGAGGGGGGCGACTTAAGGCGGCACTTGTGACTTTCAAGTTGTTAGTGTCCATGGGCGGCGGTAATCACTGATGGTAAGTGATTACCGCCGCCCATGGACACTAACAGGTGGCATGTCTGCTCCTGTACCCCACATAAATATAAAAATCACCTTTATGTTCATGGTCACTTTCCATCACATAAGTGCGAAGACGCGTCTTCTAATATTAAAAAAAACAATCATTCCATAGAACAATATAAATAAAAGCTGAACTAAATATAATAGGTTTTACTCTCTATCATCTCATATCACATCAACAGCCATTAATAGTCCACTGCTGGACATAGGCCTCTCCTTAGAAAGGAGGTTTTGGCCTCCTATACCACGCCGGGCCAGACGGGTTGGTATAGGGTTTGTGTCAAGTTTTCCTTCTCTTTGCTGTCCTGTGATTCACACACACGGCCTTCTGATTCTAAACTAGTACTAGCATGTACTACGGTAATCAGACTGCTGATAAACATACTTATATATTTCTAAATTCATACATATTATAGATAAATTACATCCAGACAAGAAAAAACGATCGTGCTCACCACACGAATCGAATCGAACCCACGACCTCTGACTATGCATCGGGGCTACTAACCACTAATCTAACAATATCTACATTAAGTATTAACAAGAGCTATTCTATAAATAAATACATATAAACACAAGTTAGTGCGAAAATCTATATTGTTAGGTCACGCTGTCCGTAAGTAGAAATGCTTACATACTCTACATACCTGGTCTCCGACGATCACTGAGGAAGTGTCGTCATCATCTGGCTCGTCTTCTTCGTCGGATTTTGTTGACTGTCTCGTGGGCTGCAACAAATATTTTCAAGGTAATAATACTCTCGAACAAATAACACATCACTATTTAAAAAAAAAACTAAGCGTTTAAACTTCGAGCACTTTTCAAAGAGCTATACTTGGCGTTACTCCTCTTCTCTTCTCCTGTATACTTCCTACCATAAGTCTACTAAAATGACCGAAATCAATAATAAATAATCAAAATCCTTGCAAGGTTTTTTTGAACTTACGAAACGGAGAAAAGTCAATTTCATAGATTTAATAAAAGGTAACTTACCGATTGTCTATCGATGGCTGTAGATAAACCCACTGCCCTGGGCTCCGGGATTAGGAACAGCCACACAACGGCACCAACCGCCCCCATCACCATACCTGGGTAGATAAACGACAGACCCCAATCTGTGTCTACATATGCAGCGGCCATGACAGTTCCTATAGAAAAAAAAAAACAAAATTTACCTCCTTGCTACGGAAAGGATCTAGTACAGCAGAGTGAAATCAGACGGCTGATCTTGGAACAAGAATAAAAAAACGAGAATTTTCATGGCGCGTTGCAGGACCTGTAATCACTAAGTGGTAAGAATTGTCTCCGCTAGACTGTACTATAGTGTCCTTTATATTTTCTATTTGTGGTATATCTAGTTCATTATGGTACTTTACAGGCGACGATGCCACGTAATGGACTTGATTACCTGGGTAATCAGAAAGTCTATTGTTTATATACAAGACTTGGACTTATTTTTAAGACCGAAAACGGGTAACCCTGGCATGCGTTCTCCAGCCAGCATATATGGAGGATTAGGGTTTTTAGTTTCTACCAAAAAGGAAAGAAAGAAGAAATACTGGTTACAGCCTAACTTACCCAGTATATTTCCAAGAGACGTGTGCGAGTTCCAGATGCCAAATATAAGTCCTTTCTTGCTGTTACCGAACCACTTGCCAACAATGGCCACAGTGCCAGGCCACCCCGTGGTTTGGGCGATGCCAGCACCGGCCTGGAACGTGGAATCAAACCAAATATAATACCAATGTTGAAAAAGCTATTATAGAAGCTGTCCAAGAGAAGTATTTAAAAGGCAGCAAACAATGAGTACTGACCTGCACCAACAAATAATACGATATATTGTGTATGCTGTACGTCCTGCCTATTCCGAACAGGTAGCAGAATATGGCCGACATAAGCATCCCTATTGATAAGAAGTAGCGGAGGTCCACTCTCTCAGCGATCATACCTGGATTGAAGAAAACAAAGATTAATGACAATGGCTCGAAGGACCAATATGTTAGAAAACGATATTGTTGTGGGATTTTAATAGATTTTAGAGCTGTTTTACAAATAGCCGGTTATAACCATTAATGTATATGATTTAGTATATATGTAGGTAACTTCAGGACTCTTAGTAGTTCCGAGCAGTAACTTATTAAGATAACTTTCTTCTATGAATTCTCCATCGAATGTAATATAAACACACACAGTACAGGTACATATTATTTAGAACGTTCAAGTAGTAATATTAAAATATTACCTGAGACAAACATGGCACCAGCGTAAGAGAATAGAAAGGCAGAGTCGAGGGCTCCTAACAATGTGTTCGCATCTGTCGTATCTGTGAAAAAAAAACAATTTAATCCCCCGTTTCCACCAGACAACAATAGGATCCAGGGGTCCAGAAATAAAGATGTCTAGACAGTATTTGACTCTATTCAAAATTGACCTTTAATAAATCATGCCTGATGACTGACTCGGCGGTGCAGTGGAAGCGTATGCAACTGCTGTGCTGAGGTCTCGGGTTCGATTCCCGGGTCGTATATAATTTGTTTCGTCGATACTGTTTTTTTAAAGACGACTTACGCACTAGGAATACATCCTGTGTCGCTGAGGACATAAAATATACACAAAGAACACCCAGACTCAGAACAACAATTTGTGGATCACACAATTTGTTGTCCCATGTGGGATCGAACCTACAACACTAAGCGTAGTAGAAAAGGGCGAGGTGACTGTTTAAACCACTACACAAATTGTAAACTTACTAAAAGGCGCCCAGTTGCACCACTGGTCATCATTTGGGTCGGTCCCTGGAGGCGGTGTGAGCGCCGAGCAGTTCTGGTGGAGCACATTCTTGACCACGGATATGGGTTTTCGGGTCAGATGGTACGTCATATATGTGAAGAATGTCAGAATCAGGACGCTGGCTTGGTAGCTGTAACAAAATAATTGTGTTTTAAAGTGACGTCGACGATTTCTCTCTCCGATTTTTTCTTGTCTGCTTTTGTTTGATTATGTCCCATGATGATGATATGTCACATAAAATTAGCAAACGCGTGCGGAAGGCAGGCAAGCAGGAAGAGTTCGTGAGTTCAATTACCGCCCAGGACAAACAATTGTGAGTATGTATGTCTTTAGAAATACTCGTATATAAGAGAAAAGTGCGCGATCTTCTTCGGAGTAAGTTGGCAGAACAGTCACAATGCTAGTACCCGACTGAGTATTTATATATTTTATTAAATTTATGTAAGTTTATGTATGTGTGTTTATATATTGTGTGTGTCTCTGGACTTCAATTGTATTAAATTTAATATTTTATTTTGCACCTACCGCATCATATTTCTACATCACCTGAAGGTTGATGGTCCGTATTAAGTTTTAAATAAATATATATAAGTACGTTTATCAGCAGTCTAGTTACTATAGCACAGGCTCTGCCTAGTTTGGGATCAGATATCAGTGTGTGTGATGTGTGAACTTATTATTATCTCCTAGCCTGCCTACTATGGTAAAAAGGACAGGAAAATGCAGGGCAGGAGGATGCGGGAAGAGAGAAAGAAGATGTCATATTTATTCTTCTTCCAATTCTATTTGGGGTCGGCTAGCTTCTTTTATGGCAACAGAACAGTACTTGGGAATATTTTTAGACACAACAAAGGAAGAAGGTACATTTGGGTAAAGAACGCTGATAGAGCGAGGGAGATGGAATACTGCGAATCTCTGATTAGGCAATGGGACCGCAGTAACTGGAAGTGATAATGTAGGACCATGATAAAATAATGGTAATAGGATAAAATAAAATTCTTAACCAATCTTGTGGGGTCGATTTTTTTTACTATAAATATTTTTAATATATTTTTAATATTATCTTGTCTTATAGTAATATTCAGTAGGAGAATGATGTCTAATTAACATTCTGCATCTGTACCTGAACTAGGCTTAAAACCTGTATCTCAGGCAACAGTGCTCTTCCACCATAACATTAGCTAAAACACAGAATAAGTTTCTTATTACATTGTTAACAGATCTAATTAAAATTTACTTAAAACTATATTTAATGTGTTCGTGAGTTCCTCTCTTTGTGTATGTGATGTGAGTGATTGAGTGAGTATGAGAGGGCGTGTAAGGGTTTTGTAATTACTGGTTTATTTTGGATTTTATAATACTTGTATGTGTAAAATAAATTAGTATGTTTTTCAGCAATCTGGTTACCATAAGACAGCCTCTGACTAGTTAGGAATCAGACGGCCGTGTGTGAGATGTGTGAAGTTATTTTGTTGTTGTTATTATTTAATAATAATAAAAGCGTAATTAGTTGTAGTAATTAAATGAGAGTAGGTCAAACGCGATTATACAACATAAAGTTTAGAAATAATATTTATTTATAAGGGCCGTGAATCACGCGCAGATATCATTACACTCGTGTTTGATACAATAAACAAACAATATATTATGTTTTTACAACAAAGGTTGTTTATTTCAATAATGAAGTACGAATTTTAAACATGTGATTAAAGTACACGATGTACAGTGATAGCAAAGTGGTTTAAGCGGTCGCCACGCGGCTTTCTACTACGCTGAGTGTTGTGGGTTCGATCCCCACAATGGACGACACTTTGTATGATCCACAAATTGTTGTTCTGAGTCTATGTGTTCTTTGTGTCCATTTCATGCATGTTTGTAAAGTCCCCCCCGCAACACTACGAGTATATATATCCTATATTAATAACGCGGGAGTTGTCTTTTTAAAATAAAATAAAATAAATATACTTAAAATTATCAATATACTTTTTTTATTTATGGAAGATGGGGAAAACGAGCAAACGGATCACCTAATGGAAAATGACTACACCCGCCCATGAACGCCTGCAGCTCAGGAGTCACAAGCGCGTTGCCGGCCTTTGAAGAAGGAGTACCTATGCTCTTTTATTGAAGGTCGTATCGGTCTGGAAATACCGCAGACGATAACTAGACCTTTAGGTTGGTAGTAAGAGGCAAAGTGTCTTGGAAAGCGCATAGTGGTGGAGTGGATCCAAGTGGTGGGGATGAAAATGGAACGATGGCGGAAAGTCGCGATCTCCTATTATGTTACTGGAAAAAAAATTATAGTAACAAAATTTCGATGGCTACGCTTCTGTCTAGTCCTTCAAGGTTATATGTATGGCCCGGATTAAAAGGAAATATCTCACTAATAACATAGTACGTTGAAATTGTTTTATCAACAAAATGCCTGGTACGTTGTTTTATCGCAGTTTTTAGCTCTTCGTTGTTCTATTGATATCAAGTTGCGTAACGAAATTTAATACGGTTTGATATTGTCATTATAGCATACATACACTCACGCTGATATACTAGAATGGGTAAGTAGAGTCGTGTTGAACGCCCACATTTTGTCGACGTATAAGGTGGTAACCCTTTTTTTATGGTACAGGAAGCAAACGAGCAAGGCCTCAATTCTGCTATTTTATGTTAACGCCAAAACAACTGTCATTCCATTGACACGCTATTGAGATGCCATTGAGACGCCATTGAAAACGGTCAAAATATCAGTATTCTACTAACATCAATTCACAGTGTCAATAGACTGACGAAATAGTAATATACGTCATCAATGGCGATATCAACAACATTGCCATACCTGGAAAATTAAATACATCATTTTCTTACAAATTTAAAATGTGCCGTTAAACCAAACTATTACGACTCAATAGTCCGAAATGGGGCGAGGGGGAGTTTTGGGCTCCAGTATCACATTTCTCAATTCATACTAATAATGTAAATGCGAAAGTGTATCTGTCTGCCTGTCTATTAAGTACATCTTAAGGCTTAAACCGCTGAATCGATTCATATGAAATTTGGTATGGCGATAGTTTGATTCTTAGGAAAGGTCATAGGCTAGTTTTTACCGAGACAACTAACATACACGCGGGCGGAGCCGCGGGCAAAAGCTATTATTTTGTTGCGTAGCCAGGTAGTAGTCGCGTAGTCGTGTCATGTAAAAAATCGAAGTTAACTTAGATTTTTTACCTGCCTCAAAGCCGACTCCAACCTAGTTTGGGAAGATGTTTATACCTATTTATGTAACTTGCATTACGAAGTGACATTTCGTTAGTGTTTTTCTTTTAGTTTTTTTAGATAGCTCACGTATCTTCACAAACGATCTTAAGGGATAGTCGCATGCGCACCGAGCTTATCTGTTCAACTTAATGATAAAATCATGTTCCGGTAATCTTTATAAAACAATCTTTTAGCGTTAATGATTGGAGTTAGTGTTATTTCCACTGTACGTATGACTAATCAGGAAATGTTGTGGAGCATCGTCTATCCACTTTTTTTTTGGTAATGACGGTGAAGGGGGTAATGAATTTTACATGAAAACGTTCTAGTGAAGAGTTAAGTATCCCCACCAGTATTAGGGAGGGCTTTGAAGGTTACTGGCCTCAGTCACTTAGTGAAAAGCTATAAAAGAACTGCTTAACACCGGTTTTATGTGAGGTCGTGGTATCAATCCGTTCGAGGCGGTCCATTAGTGGCGAAACATGGTTCTACTTTTTTATACTTGGACAACCCCGGGCAAATCCTTACTAATATTATAAATGCGAAAGTGTGTCTGTCTGTCTGTGTGATTTGGATGAAATTAGGTACAGAAATCGTCCGAGTCCCGGGAAAGGACATAGGGTACTTTTTATCAAAGAAATCATCATTAAAGGGGGTGAAAAGGACGGTGAAAGTATGTATCGAAAATCAACAACCGCTGAACCTGTTTAGATGAAATTACGTATGAAGATACTTTTATTCTTGAGTAAAGGCTACTTTTTACGGCCAAATACTATTACTTAATATTCCTACTAATATTTTAATGCGAAAGTAACTCTGTCTGTCTGTTATGCTTTCACGGCTAAACCGATTTTAATGAAATTTGGCACGGAGATATTTTGAGTCTTGATAAAGGACATAGGTTTTTACCGAGATAACTGACATACACGCGGGCGGAGCCATGGGCAAAGGCTTGTAATAAATGAATTACACAGCGTACCATGTGTTTCACCACCTATGTAACTGATATAAGGAATAATGTTATCTGTACAAAATGTAATAATGCAAAGAGAAGGAAAACTTAACACAAAATCCTATACCAACCCGTCTGGAGAGCGTGGTATAGTAGGCCAAAACCTCCTTTCTAAGGAGAGGATTACGTCCTGCGGTTGACTGTTAAAGGCTGTTGATGTGTGATCTTATTGCAGTGTACAAAATGTGAATTAAGATTTTTTATTATTCATTAAATACATAACATAAATAGCTAACGTTTTCAATTGTTCTGAGATTAGCCATGGCTTGAGCATGCATGACTGCAGAAGACCTTGATTAACATAAGGCATATCAATACCTTTATAAAACTATAATTATACAACCTTGCATTGCTATTTAAGATAACTGTGCTTGCTCAGGTGCTAGACAGACAGACAATACAAGACAAGTCAAGGTCAAAAAACATTTTTTTTAGACTTCTTAATATAAGTGGGCAAACTAACACATGGATCACCTGATGGAAAGTGACTACCGCGGACCTGGTGTCCTTTAATTGCTCCACTCCACACCAGGTGAGAGTTTGGGCCTTCAAAAGGCCCAGTGTGAGTTTATTTCACATAAACTCGCTCTCGACTGCGAGCGTATTACGTACGTACAGAGTCACATAAACTATTGTTTTCGGCAGTTATTAAGTTCATCTTCACCAATAAAAAACTAGAACCTGAGTAGAAGAATTAAAAATTAGAAGTAGTTCCTGAGATTAGCGCGTTCAGCCGAACAAACTCTTCAGCTTTCGAGTATAATATGTAAAGGGATTATCTTAATGAATCATCTCAACGAATGAAAAAACTTTTTTTTTTAACTTGTGGTAACCCCCTCGGGCCGTCACTCGGGCTTGCGGCAGGGTGGTGTGGATCGACTAAAACCACACGGTGTGCCACTCTGCGGGTGTAATAGGAGATCCAGGAACTGCTATTTTTAAGACATCCAGACCCTCCTAGCGCCTGCCCGGCGACGACCGGCACACGCGGTGACAGGCGGGACTGAATTTCCCCTAGCGACCGACAAGGCAATCCTAGTAAATAATTAACTTTTATACAAGAATTTTTGTATTTAATGCGACTATATCATAATAAATTACAATAAACTGTGTTCTATATTATTTAATTTTCTTCTAATTTCAATTGAACCAAACATTAAGTATATCCTCTTAAAAAAAAAATCGGTTGTCTGTAAAGTCGGTTTACTGACGATAGTTGAACGTGACAACGTCATAAGAAAATACTGATGGAATGGTTGCATTTTTCAAAAGAAAATTTTAATTACGCTTCATACTTGACGAAATGTATACTACATACATATAATACATGTAAATGTATTATTGTATAGCAGCTGTCAACGCGGACGCATCGCTGACTCAGGTAGGAGAGAGACAGATGTCAAACGCTGCCGAACGCGGAGGCCGATTGTGTCTCTTTGTCGCTCGTTCCGCGCTCTCGCTTGCACTTCAAGCCTTAAATGGAACGCCTCAGAGCGAGGTAACGCCGCATGCGTCATGTTTTTTCGTGCGTGCAGCCGGCTCCATCGAATTATAAGACGTTGTCACGTCAAAATAATTTTCCAAATCGGTTCATAAATTACGGAGTTCTAAGCTAACAAATATGAAAAGAAAACAACAAAGCACCTCCTGCTTTGAAGACTGATAAATAATACATTTACAATGTCAATATGAAACAACAGCCTACTTTGTTTACGTGTCTACATATTTACACAGGCTAACAAATGAAGGTTATAAGAATATACAATAAACATGTGTGCTGTAACAAAAGAATGTTAATTTTATACAGAACTGGCTGTTGCCTGCGGGTGCACTCTTATTTCGTGTTTCTAATTATAAAAATGATGAGCTTCCATACAACCGGTCATCCCTTGTTTTACCTTATTAGAAATTATGTTTAATGTTAGTGTAACGGGAGCGTGGTGTTTAAGCCTTAAATTCTTCAGGGGTGATGGTGAGGGGTACAAGTAGTTATTGTTATGGGTCCTGTCTGTTTTGTGTGTATATTATTACGTTCTGTGTAATGTGTAAGTGATCTGTGCCTGTGACTTACATAATACCTCTTGATAATATTCTGTATTGTCTTGTGCACTGTAACTTATATAAGTGAGGATTTGTAATTGGCTATCTGTTTTCTTGACTACTTTTATTCTGATCATCATAGCTGTAAATCCTCCATAGTTTGTAATAAATAAATACGGAACTTCGTTCTAATAATAACCTCACACAGCTCACACACGGCCGTCTGATCCCAAACTAGACAGAGCCTGTGCTATGGTGACCAGACTACTGATAAACATAATTATACATTTTTAAATACATACATATTTTAGATAAATTACACCCAGACACAGAACAAACGATCCTGCTTATCACATAATGTTTGTCCTGGGTGGGAATCAAACCCACGACCTCCGGCTTAGCAGTCAGGGCCACTAGCCACTAGACCAACAGGCTCGTCATGTGTCCATGGAGTGTCTCCAATACCCAGTCAGGTATAAATTCTCTCTATATCTCTTCTGAAAACTATTCAAATTCCAAGAAGAGTTGATATTAGGCAAACAGGTTACCATGAAGTAATAGTAAGTTTACCTGTCTCACACACAACTGTCCAATCCTAAATTAGACCGAACCTGTGCTATGTTAATAAAAGAAATAAAAAAAATTACTTCAAAGCCTCAGCAATGTTATATATTCGGATCCGATTCCCACTCAAGTCTAACGTTTGTGTGCATGAACATTTAAGGTTTGATTTTGGTCTGGGTGTTTCTACGTATAATATATACATATTTATTTACAAAAAATTTGTATATGTATTTATATCAGTTGTCTATTACCCATAGTACCAGTGCTTAGATTGGGACTAATGGTGTTGGGTGAATGTGGTAGAATATTATTTTTTTAATTACATTTATTTCTACAAGTACCTAAATCTTTTTAGATAGTTTTAGATGTCGGGCTTTACAGCTAAAAGACTCACGTCTTAGGAAATGCCGGAGCCTGGGAAGAACACTGAAAAAAACCACCGAGGTGTCTTTTCTTACATACATGCACAATGTTAAAGAGAACTATGTGAGTGCAGTACAGGGTCTGGGTTGGCCTTTTGAAGAAAGGATCATAGTTTTGAGTTAGCCTGTCCAGACAGACAGCATATAGGTCCCAGCCATCGTGTAGCCTAACCGATATAATAAGGATCAACAACCTCGAACACATCATTACCACAAACAGGACTGTTGATTAGGGTGTGGAAACAGTGTGTTTGAAAGTTACTAAAATATGAACTGTTCCAAAAAAAAAAAACTATACAATTTAATTGAAAACAAACAAAATACTAATTACAACTTAAATGTCTTCACTTTCAAACATAACCACAATAATATATATTGCAATGATACCAAACGATAATAAGGATCTATAGATTATTTACGATTACTTTATATTATTGTTGTATTAAACCTCCATGCTATAAAACTTACTTCACTAATTACTCATAGTACGCGAGCTGCGATAAGAGCGGAAGTTAGATATGAAGGAAATAGCCTTGACGGAACACTCACCACAATAATTTGTTGACTTGAACTCGTGGGCAGCATCTCAAACTAAGTTTTTGTATGAATTGCACCCCGATAGGGGCATCTCTACTCACACCACTCATTCTCCGATATATGCGTTTGAAAACCCTAAAAATAATATCCGAGGACCGCATTCACAGTTAGAAGTTAACATGCATTGTTCAATATATCTGCTTTTGTTTACATCCACTTGCGAACATAAACTTCGATAATTGCAGCTTATTTACATAACATTAACTTATAATGTGAAGAGTATTTTGATAATTAACGTTTTTAATTTAATTCGAACTATACATTGTTATTCGGAGTATAATTTTATGAATAAAATTGATAATTTAAAACCGTAAGCAAACGACACGTCTCCATCTGAAACGTTCCGTTACTGAGTGCACGAATAACTCGGAGGAAATGGTAATCTATGCTTCATTAAATTTTCAAGTATTTCGGACTTAGTCTAATTCAAGTGTTTGAACAAAGTTCGAGGATTTTAAATGCTAAAAGTATGGTTTTTAATAATTATTTATATCTTTTTACGTAGATTGTCATTAGTGACATTGACATTATCGTGAGTTGACGTGACATTAACGCTTGTACCTACGCAGAACTCAGTGTTCACGTAACATTGTTTTTTTAGAATCTATGTGTAAAACAATTTTTGTTTGAAAAGGCTAGGAAAAAAGACGTCAGACGTCAGACGTTTGATCTTATTTAAACACAGAGTCCGCTACCACTTACAGGCAGTTGTACCCCGTGCTCTCCTACGCTTATATCTCTATGGTTTTAGAACTATTTCATGCTTCTTTATGGTGGACACTAGCTTGCTACATTATACTAATCTGTGGTGGACAGTTTCGGTTTACCTACCATACAATATAGTCCTCCTTAACTCTACATTCCATTGTCATAGAACGCACCATTTGTGGTGAATGACGAATGGATGACTTGATGTGTGGCTCTAGCATGCCGTAGTAACACAGATGCCTTTAAAGTAAAGCAGGTTTAATAACCGTGTTCGGATGTTATTATTAATTAGCCACACTATGGCGAAACAAAAAGAAAAAAAGAAAATGACAATTAAATTTATTTAATTGTAGTATTTAAAACGACTAGATAATAGACTGCCTCACTAGTGCAGTGGTAGCGTATGCGACTGTTGCGCTAAGGTTTTGCGTTCTGACCAAATGCTTGTATGACCATGTATGCAAATGAGTTGAAAATTATATTTTTTTTTTCCTGGGAAAACGAAAAACGGGCTTATAAATTAATTAACGTAGGTCGAAAGGGCTAATTGAGATCTATAAAATGAGTTTTTTTTTAATTTGAAATTTTAATATCTGCAGGCTGGATCGTGCCGGTACTTGTATGATCTGCAAATATTTGTTTTATTATTGGTATATGGTATTTTTTATCTGTAATATGCATGTGTTTAGAAAAAAGTATATAAGTATTCTATCAGTCAATCTAGCATACATAGTACAAGTTCTGCTTAGTTTGAAACTAGATGGCGCTGTGTGTCAGATGTCCGAAAATATTTTCAAGTATTATTATATAGTATATATTTTGATTTAGTGATTCCTTATATGATGAACGGTGATACTGTATTTTGTATAGCTTTCTACTTACATCCATGACGGATTTCAGGGCTTCAAGCAATAAGTGCAGATAGTGTTCTTAGTCTTGATAGCTTTAGAATATTTTTTTTTTATTCTTTTTATTCGGAGTTTACATACTAAATGTATGTAAACTCCTACTATTACTATTCCACTGGAGTAAAAAAGCCCTCAACGCTATATTAAACGGACATACCACACTAATCACATTAGTGATTTGGGTTAAACCTTTCATTAAATCCGCTTGTTGCAGCATTAAGAATCGCCATCTTCGTTCTTTTAATTTCCAGCTAATATGTGACACTTTTAGCACAAAAACTTTAATTTGTATTAACTATCTTATCTATCTGTTATTAAGTGACAGGCTCGATTTAAACACCGTAGTTTTTTATGAAAAACTACGAATGAAGAACGATATTTCTACAGGAGGTGAATGATGCAAAAAAAACTGCATCAACTTTTAATAACATAACTTAAACACAATGCTTTTCGCATCGTTTTCTTTTCCGATCTTTTGGAACGGGACAATTCCACCATTTTCTGAATCTCTTGTAGTCATTTATATTAGACGTGTTTTCGTTCATCTTTCTACAAAATCTACAATACGGATTTGTTTCAGGGTTTTCATATACATCATGGTAGGAATAGTAGTTAGTCCATTTGAAGAATTCGTAGTATTTTGATTTATTGGCAACAATATCTATCATTTGATGGACAAGCTCTCTGGGTCGGAAGTGTCTTGCATTTAAGTATGCGCCATCTGGCATGAACCTGAAAAAAAAAAAAAAAAAACCAAAAATCGAATGCGAATGCTACAAGTATGTGGCGATCGATCGTTTTGCCAGGCAAATGCAGTGGCCATTTCACACATGTGGTCATGTGTTAGTTCACTCACTCTGATTCACGCAAAGCTTTGCATAGTTCTATAGATGTTACATATGATTGTACTATAATAAAGGCAAGAGCTTATGACATCAGGCAACCAGTATAAATACGTTTTTAAATATATGTTAGTTTAATGAACCTTCACGTCACGGTCATTTATATTATCGATGGTTTTTGTATGCCTAAACGAAACCCATAGAGAATATCGCAGACCCGCCATAAAATAAACGAGCTAAGATGAGAGCTAAGAGCTAAGATTTCATATGTTTAAAATACATACGAAATTTATGATGATAATAATAAATCATAAATATATGGATTAGGAACGAGTTGTTAGGTCACTTTAATACCTTGTGTAGTTGGCGCCACCGAACACAACAGGCACAACATTATTCTGTAAAGCAGTAAGCAGTTTTTCCGTCACGTAATCCTCGCAATTGGAATTCTCGAACGACAAATAAAAGTAATAGTCCTTCTTTAGCATACGTTTACAACGATGCATTTCATTTATAGGACATTTATTACTGACCGCCCATGTTCCATAAATGTCCATGGTTAAATTGCGTATATTTAATTTGTCTAATTCATATTGCATTTCGTCCACGTAATCTAATCTTTTATTTACTGTCCATTGGTTTGACATGAACCACGCAGCTAATTTGCTTTTCTGGCTAAGTTCATTTTTTAGTTTATCATCAATAGGTTTCATATCTTTGACTTCTAGCCAAGTCATTCTTTCTTTAGGACCAATAATATCACCGTTTTTGTTTTTAATTAAAATAAAGCCGAGAGGTATATCAGAATTCAATTTGTAAGTCCAAGTCAAATTAAAAAAGGTATCGTATTTTTCATCAAGTATTGGATAGTTTGCTGATGACTCCAATGATTGAAACACATACTTTTGGGAAAAATGACGCGTTTCGGGCAAAGTTACATCATGTAAATTGAGATCTGGTCCATGGAATAATATAACATGGAAATCGGTTATTTCCTTCGTAAATGTTTTGTCTGTCGTAACATAACAGTTGCTTACAGGACAGTGATACATTAAAAATACGTTTTTACCTTCACCCATAGCTCTGAAGACTAGGGAGGAATCTGTTTGCGGGTTTGTCCACAATAAAATGTATTTTAAATTAGGTTTTCTTACATCATCTATGTTATAAAACATTCTAATCATCAATTGAAATGCTGTACTTAATAATATTAATAATGTAAATAGTAAACACAGTTTCTTTATTTTGCTTTTTATTTTATATCTTCTTGCCATTTTAATGCGTTGCATGAATGGTAGATTGTTGTCAGTTCAGATTATTGACGTCAGATGGCGCTACAGACACAAAAACTAACCTAGTTTCAAATATCACTACTCATCCTCATCATCGTTTGCGGTTTTGAGAATTAAAGAATTGTAAAGCTATAAATGTTGAATTTCTTGTAATAAAAACATGTTTAATCTTATCACAAAACAATATAAGTATAAACTGTACGACGTTTTATTACGCTTTAAAGAATTATGTTTTTAAGATCAATTACTTGCAATTATAGCCTTATATGAGCCGAATAATAACATGCCTAAAGAAGATCTACTGGATGTAAAATTTTATATAATAGGTCAGGAGTGTTCGTGGGATAAATTTTTGTTATCCCAATCGAGATTATGTAGCCAGGTACCTCAATTCAATGTAAATCGATACATGATTGATATATGACCTTAGAAGGTTGTGAATGATTTATTAAAAAACAGCAATCTGGCAGTTGAGATATTTAGAGTTTGCTACTATACAATAGATGGCAGCACTTTAGCCGTATCGTGCACAACTGATCGTGTTAAGTACAGTAAATATATATTTGAATTACAATACTGTTATTTTTTTTAACAAAATAAGAAATAAAAGAAGAAGAGTTTCTAGGCTAGTTTGTGTGAAAGAAGATGATGCAGAAAAAGAAAGAGAACTTATATTGTCTGGTGGTGTACGTCAGTTTTCGCGGTAAAAAGTAGCCTATGTTACTCGCTGATAATGTAGCTTTCCATTGGTGAAATAATTTTAAAAATAGGTTTAGTGGTTTGGGCGTGAAAGCGTAACAAACAAACTCGCATTTATAATATTAGTTAGCATTATATGCATATTACATAGAAGACAATATAGAGAGAGAAGAGAGATAGAAAGAGAGATGAAGACTTAAAATAATTGAACAGGCAAAAGAGGATTGAAATATTGTGTTAAAGCCGTGGCTGGAAAGAGATAACAGAGATTATTTCATAGAATTGGACAAAGACAAAAATATGTTTTTTTTTTGCAATACTTATTAATTACGTAACTTTAATTATTTCAAGTATTATGGACGATAAAACAGGTTTCGTTTCTGCAATAAATATGTAATTACCAAGTTTAGATTTTAATTATAAGCGCTACAAATTTTCGTTTAAATGAAATATTAAGATCTTAACATGCATTACCTGGTACGTATTTCTTTGCGTTTAACAAAATTTAATATTTTTAATGGTACCTGCTGATAGAGATTTACTCTTCATCATCATCATCATCATCAACAGCCTTTAATAGTCCACTGCTGGACATAGGCCTCTCCTCAGAAAGGAGGTTTTGGCCTACCATACCACGCTGGCCAGACTCTTCATTTCCACCGTATTGCCAAGAGCTATGACTAGTATCTTTAATGGCCGACCAACCTGCTTAACGATAATCGTTCTTAGGGTTGTAATCATTTTCGTCCGTTTCATGTATGTTTGTAAAGTCCCTCGCGACACAGGATATATTCCTAGTGCGGGAGTTGTCATTAGAAAAATAAGAATAAGAATAGTTTTACTTGAGGTTCCATCACTTGAACCATTCGCTCGCAGAGGGCCTAGGGCTAGTCTATTTCACATCAACTAGCTCTCGACACTTTGCGATTGGTGCAAATTTCAGTGCGGGCCAATCATAGCGCCGAACGCGGGCACAGTGACGAGCGAGTAGATGTGAACTAAACTCGCACTTGGACCTCTGATCCCTATGCCAGAAAAAATCTATACTAATGTTAAATATTAAGCTTCTTTGTCGGTTTCGTAACAATTTTGTTTTTTCCGTGAGACGGAACGTAGCCCGCCGCGTCTATATTCGCCTCTACAAAACAGTAATTAGGCCAATTTTGATATATGGTTGCGAAACTTGGACAATAACGACGTAAGAGGAAGATAAACTCTTAGTTGTTGGACGTAAGATATTACAAAAAATTCTGGAACCAACAATAGGAGAGAATAAAGAGGGGAGGCAAAGATACAATCATGACATAGAGAGTCTAGTGTCAGAGCCAAGTATATTCGGGGAAATAAAACCTGACCTGGTTTGGTCACATGGAAAGAATGGGATACATTGGAGTATATCTCGGGCGGGTTACCCGAGATATACTCCAATGACGGATGAAATACGGACGGCAGCCGGTAGGACCATCCAGGTTCCGCTGGAAAGATAGGGTTGACAAAGATCTGCAGTAGATTAAAGTGCCCGATTGATACGACCTGGCACAGAACAAGGGGGAACGGCGAAGGTCGGAGGCCAAGACACATTTTGTATCGCTGAGCCAGCGAAGTAAGTAATATTATAACGCTGAAGAGCTGGTTTCCTTATTTGTTTGGTTGAACGCGCAATTCTCAGGAATTTCTGTTTCGAATTGGAAGATTATTTTAATGGTCGATAGTCCATTTATCGAAGAAAGCTATAGGTTATAGAATATCACGCTACGATCAACAGGAGCATCAATGAAAAATGTTACTAAAAATTATACCTTCTGAGGGGCGTAGACGAAGTGACGTCACTTCGTCTACGTCCCTCAGAAGGTATAATTTTTATATGGGTTAGTTTTTGGAATATGAAAGAAGCAATCCAAGAAATCTATGTATAATTGTTATAGGGTACGGTTGCGCTTCTGATGCTCTCGATGTCAGTTCTCGGGAACATCGATGTCCGCCGCGGTGGGTGGCTGCACCGTGTGGTCCAGTACCACAAGGGGAAGTTCATCAGAGAATTGCGAAAGCTGGCGCCGATTCAAATCAAAGGTAAAACTTTAATCAAAATTTTATTTGGTTCTTTGTTTAATTATTCATATTTTAATGGAAATATATATCTATACTAGCTTTTCCCCAAGGATCCGCCCGCGTGTCTGCCTGTTATAAGCGTCTGTCTTTCCTCAAAAATAAAACCATCTCCATACCAAATTTCCTTCAAAGTCGGTTCATCGGTTATTGATACCCCATACAAACTTTCTACACCCTTTTCACCCCCTTACAGAACGATTTCTGGGATATATATTACTATCCTATGTCCTTTTCCGGAATTTAAACTATTTCTACACCAAATTTCATCGGAATCGCTTCAGTGATTTAAGCGTGAAGAGGTAACAGACACTCACACAGACACTTTCGCATTTATAAAATTAGTATGGAATTATGGATGATTATGTATGTATCTATTTATACAGCTTTTAAAAGTCTAAAATATTTGTTTTTTTATGGTATGGCAAGCAAACGAGCAAATGGGTCATCTGATTGTGAGTGACTTCCACCGTCAATAGACACCGGCAACTCTCTCTAGTCATAATTGCGTTGTCGCCCTTTGCGTCCCCCTTCCAGAATCAGAGTAATGAGTGAGGTCACCGAAGTCTATACCCTCGGTTTGAGCTCCGGTAATACCACTAACTCGGTGAAAAGAACGAAGAAGAAGAACAAAAGAACTGCTTAACACCGGATTTCTGTGAGGCCCTGGTGTGACTGCGGTAAAGCTAGTCGTATCATCAATCATCAATCCGTACATCGCTAAGAGTTTGTTAAAAATATGCGCTGCTATTTTGGCTTTCTGGAGCTATATTTAAATAAAAAAACCTACCTAGCTACCTGACTGTTGACCTGTCTGTTTGTTTGCCTCCTAAATTAACCAGGTTTCATTGTATATTATTTAATATTTTCGAAACAGTCAGTTTCAATTTATAATTTTTTCTTTCAGCTAAAATAATACCAGCACCAAAAGGATATAAGGACTCTGATAAGTGGAACTTGGAGTCTGTGTTGCATCTCATCGTGCTCATAAGAACAAGCCAGGCAGCAGCACCCGTTTACCGAGCGTTAAGACGCTCGCTGATGCCGTCCAGACGCATCATGATGAGCATGGCGGACTCTTTCAAGCATTTTCCATCTCTGTCTAATGTACACTTCATAATCATACATTCATACACTCACGCGGATAGTAGACCACCGCATTTTGCCCAAAAATAATTTAGGTTCCGCTTATGTGATATGTGGTGTCCGTGTGGTGACGGATTTAAAATACGGAGTGTCACCACTCCTGTTAACCCGTGGGTGTCGAAAGGGCCGACTAAGGAAGCAAACTATGTAGGACAACAGCACTGCAAAGAGAGACGGAAAACTTGATAAGCCTACCCGTCTGCCCATCCAACACCTGCTTTCTAAGGAGAGGCCTATGTCCAGAAGTGGACTGTTATAGGCTGTTGATTTTGTAATACGGGGAAGTTTATTGCCCTCAACCAGACACTTTGGGAAATCACATCAACAGCCTTTAATAGTCCACTGCTGGACATAGACCTCTCCTTAGAAATAAAATAGAGAAATTTTGAGTATATTGAAAAGATAAAAAAGGAAAATTGCTGCAATATCCCTGCACTGAGAAATAGCTCAAGCTAAGAGGTCCCGACCTCCTTTCTAAGAAGAGGCCTATGTCCAGAAGTGGACTAATAAAGGCTCTTTATTTATTTGTAGGTTCGCCTACAATTGTCACACATTTTTTTAAAATAATACATGCATATTATATAAAGTATGAGTGTACAATATCAATCGGCAAACACAACATTTTGTTGATGATGTTGATGTGAAGCGCTCCCGACACGTAAGGTTCCGAACGAAAAGGAACTTGATTCTCAGGGATAGAAAATCATCAATATCCTTTTATCTGCCGACTTTTTCCCAATTTTATATAAGTTTCACGCAATGTTAAACTTGCCGAAACTTCGGGCAGCTTTCTCTTATGGCCAGCCTGATGGACGCCAAACCTCTGCGAAAGTAATAATTTAGCAGGAGGAAGAAAGTAAATTGGTGTAATAAAAAAAGATATAGCGAGTGTCTTGGCGCAAGTCTTATATTTCAAAGGACTGAGACTGCTATAGCTCGGGGACCAGGATCGCCACACGGGTAGCCTGGGGTTAGGAAGACCACTAAGGCAGGGACGTCCCCACATAATCAAAAAATATTATGTTTTATCCAGTTTTCGCTAAACGATATCTACTACGACTTCGACACGATGGAAGAGTATGATGACCCGAAACCTGTCTTTAATGGGCCCAGTGGCGATGATGGAATTATCGTTGTCAGCAATCCCGTGGAGGCCAGGCTGCCCAGCACCCAGATCAGCATCAAGTTGATCAAGTACATATTGTCTTTTAACACCTTAGGACAAACATGCCAGACCTATGTGTCATGATAGAAGATCTTTTCATGATAGAAGGGTCGTGGGTTCGATTCCCGTTTGGTGAAAGTGTCTGTAGACGTCATCACTTCTGTCTTTACATTAGTCCGGTTATACGTACGCTTCTTTTATTCGAAGTGAATTTTAACTCTCCTGGTAATTGTCGTTTCGGAATGTAACTTTGTATGTAAATGTGGTTTGGATCACAATACTATAATATGGTACCTTTAAGTTGTTCTGATGATGAAGCCTGGGCGTGGATAGTTTGAATCTATTTGACTTTTTTTAATTTGACTAAAATCACATATTTACTGATATTGTTCTTAAACGCCCATTTGAACAATTTAACTTTTGTCCCGAGTAGGTAAAAGGGGGGGGGGGGGGATCTGAAAGGGAGACAACGCACTTGTCTCTCTTGAGCTGCAGGTGTCCAAGGATAGTCTACCGTCAGAGCCCCGTCTGCAGTGCTATTCGACGCGACAGCGCTGTCACAATGTTGAATTTCATCGGTTGATCGGTCGCTCCCTATACCATCCCTTAGACAACTAAACTTTTATTGTTTTTCTGTTAGAGATATTCTTGTGTCACGAGCGATCGCTGGCAGAGCTTTGCCGACTACCACACGAGCTCCAATGTAAGTATATTTACATTTTCAGACACTAACACGACAATTATTTACTGTTCTAATAGAATTAACTTTAAAAAATCAAAACCAACATCAATGCGCTAACCTCGTGTTGAGTTGTAATTAACTGGATTCTTTATTCTTTAATTTTCACCTTTAAGGGTTTTTTTTTGTTTCAAATATATATATATTATGTCAAAAAGGAGTTCTGGGTTAACAAACATAAAAAAACATACAAAGTGAATCCTCCTTTTGAAGTCCGTTCAAAGGTCTGTCCGTGTGGTGATTAAGAATACGGAGTGGCACCATCCCTATCACCCCGTCGTATCAAGAGCCGACTGATGGAGCAAACTACGCATTAGAACAGCAATGCAAAGAGAAGAAAAACTTGACACAAGCCGTATACACACCCGCCTGGTCAGCGTGGTATAGTAGGCCAAAACCTGCTTTCTAAGGAGAGTTCTATGTCCAGCAGTGGACTAGTAAAGGCTATAGATTATTATGAATCTGCGATAAATTGGAGTAGTAATAAATATACTCGTACATCTTATAACATGTTGTTATTGCATCTTGTTAGACCCTGGACACCAATGAATGTAACCACTACTACGGCCGCAACTGGTGATGAAAAAGATGATGGCGACAAGACAGATCAAGGAGATGTCACAGGTATGCTACTGCTTGAAATGATACCTTATTTCTATTATAAAATAACGTCAATTTTTGGGGAATCTTAAGAGTCAAGCATTTAATATAAACATATAATGTGCCTACATGGCATGGTAACTGGAGGGTTGCTGCCCTCCGCAACAATGGGCGATCCGGCTGAGGTGACCGCTTACTATCTACCTCCGTAATAGCGTATTCCCTTCTGGCTGGAAGGACTGCAGATTCTCCTTTGGCTTTCTGACTAATATGTCTGCTGGTCGAGGTGGCGATACCCTTTGAAAGAGTTATTCTCGCCCGTTTTAAGCAGGCATCTGTCGCGAGTGGACTCTGACCTATCATACATCCAGTTTAGCTTCCAACAGGGGCGTTCGACGCTGGACGCTACGAACGTGTCCGCTCTCGGTCGGAAGAGGTTGTCATGCCTCATACCCTCCCGTGGTGGAGGATTAGAGAGATATTGGTGTCTCACCAAATGGCTCTCTACCTTCGGGACAACATCAGAACTTCGTGGTAGGTCCGTATCTTATATGGGCCTACCGCGGAGATAGGCGGGAAGGCGAAGAATCTCAAATGTGGGGGTTTCCAGGTGGCGGTCTTAGGACCCCTTCAGTGGAACCACCTGTATGATGCGGTACTGAGGACCAGTCTTCCTTCTAGTGTGACTAGTACTGACTAGGGGGCATGTCTTCCATGAGGTTAGGGGCGGCTTGTGCCGTCCAAAAGATCAGCGGTCTGAGTCTACGGGTAGCACCCACCTCAGATTCAGCCATCTGATCCTAAACTAGACAGAGCCCGAACTATTGTGATCAGAATACTAATGAAGTACATGCTTACAAATTTCTAAGATTAGATTAGGCCCAAATAGTATAGAATATTCTTTATTGTACACCAATTATAATATATTAGATAATATTACAAACAGATATAAACTATGGGCGGCCTTATCGCTAAAAGCAATCTCTTACAGGCAACCTTTGGATGGACAAATCGACATTAGATGAGAAGAAACAATGGGTGGTCTAGGTGTATTGAAGCTACAGTAGTGTAGTAGTAGTGGTAGTAGTGTAGTACATACATATATATATATTACATATACACATATATATATACATAAATAAATAATATTTACAATATATATTGGTAACCATAAAATCATTTAGTCATGTACAGTTATTAAAAGCAAAGAACTCAAGTAGTGATCTTTGACCATATTCTTAACTGCTGTCAGTGTTTGGGCACTTCTTATGGATATCGTCAAGATATTCCATAATCTGCCAGCCTGCACTGTGAATGACTTGCCATAGAATATGGTAGTGTGCCTAGGTACCATTAGCTCCAAAGATTCCGACCATTTTAAATACACCCAGACAGAGCACTAATTGATCATGGTCATCACAACAATATTTATCCCGGGTGGAATGTGAACCTACGACCCCTGGCTTACCTGGCAGGACCATCAACCATCGAACCAACAGGTCCGTTACAAGTCAAAGTTGCAGTTCAATAATTATAAAAAACATTTACTTGTATTTTAGCTAATATAAGTTAAGAATCTGTTCTGTAAAACAGATTTTATGAAATAGTGTATTCGATGTTCACACATTATTATTGGTTACCATTCTCAGAGTCTGGCACAGCTACAGCTGCAGTAACAGATGACGCTGATGTTCCTACTGACGGAGACAGTGGAACAACTGGAGATCCCGATACTGGTGGGGCAAATTCAGCATCGGGAGAGAGAACAACGATAGAACCGTCGGAATAATTTTAATTTGAAGTTACTACAAGAATGACAAAAAAGTATAATGGCATTTTTGGCAAAAGTAGAATTGCCATTCTACTTTTGCCAAAAATGTTTTGTGATTTGCTTCTTTAATAAACTTGACTTGATATCATTATCGTCATGTTTTTTTACTGCACAGATGGCGTAGTGGTTTAAGCGGTCACCACGCCGCTTTCTACTGCGCTGAGTGTTGTGTGCTAAACCCCACATGGGACACCACTTTGTGCGATGAGCCGACTAAGGGAGCAAATTCTAGCTTCCCTTGTTAATTTCACTTTCCCATATTTATATTGACCAATAACAATTACAGATTTATATTTTTAAATGACAGTAATAATTAATATTAAATAACAATAATAATAAACAATAAGTGTGATACCCCTATATTCATCCCGTGGGTGTCGTAAGCGGCGACTAAGGGAGCAAATTACGCAGGAGAGCAATGCAAAGAGAAGGAAAACTTGACACAAACCCTATACCAACCCGTCTGGCCAGCGTGGTATAGTAGGCCAAAACCTCCTTTCTAAGGAGAGGCTTATGTCCAGCAGTGGACTATTAAAGGCTGTTGATAATGATGAAATTTTTGTTGTCATTTGAACATTAAGTGAAATACAAAGAATATACAACATCTGAGTAAGAAGGCAACCGCATTACACCACTCTCAACGTGGCCTCGTATGGTTTGTGAGTAGGATAGTGGTATAATGCTGATTAGCATACTATACAGATCCTATGAGGATTTTGTGTCAACTAAGGTGAATAATATAAATTAAATAAAAACTCGTATTGTATGAAAGAGTTGTGATATTTTTATTAGATTGTAAAGAAAACATGTTTCGATTAAGTATGGAATAAAATCCACGGCTCTGATGACAGGTCATTACTCTTTTCGTGAAATTTTCCATAACTTTTACACAGAGATGTGGCTATATCTCACCGTTGGATCTTTGATTTGAGTTCAGGAATTGTTTCTGGTTTATTCGCATAAACCCAAGATTTCACAAAACCCCGAAGAAAAAATCGCACGCAGTTAAATCGCACGATCTTGGTGGCAAGTTGACATCACAATTTTGTGAGATAATGTGGTCTGGAAATAGTTGTTGCATTAAAGTCGATTGTTTAATGCGCGGTGTGGCAGGTGGCGCCGTCCTGCTGAAACCACATGCTGTCCAAATCCATACCGCCCTAAAGGGATGACTAATTGGCCAAAAATGCATAAAGATTCTTTATTAACAATGAAAATACATAAACATTCTTATAAATCTTAGGAAGGTAAAATAATACTGAGTTTCACCCTTTACTTAACAAATTATTGGTTTTTGAAATTCGATATATAAACTTCTACTCCTCTATTCACTCCCTAAGGGGATAACTAATTGGTCAAAAGTGCATAAACATTCTTTATTTGTAACGAAAAGTTAAATGATAAATATTAAATAGTCCTTTTTTTTAATACGCTTTACAAATTGCCACACCCAGTTTACACCCTTAAGGGATGATTTCGGGAATAAGAACTATCCTATATTCCGGGACACAAACTATCTCTATATGAAATTTCACTTAAATCGATTCAGCAGTCTAAGCGTGTAGAGGTAACAGACAGAGAGACAGACAAACAGACAGACACACTTTCGCATTTGTAATATTTAAAAATAACCACCGCAACTTTGAAAATAACACTATTTTATTATTAATTTGTAAGAAAAACGCAAAGTCCGAGGGAGTCGAAGGATATCCGATTGTGAACCGGTCTGAGACTGCAGTAGGTCAAAGAACCCGGTCCACGTATCATGTTGTTGGTGCCATTGTCCTACAGGCTACATAAAATAAATAACCGAATTGCACGATGGGCCTATTGGACTAGTGGCTAACCCTGACTAGAAAGTCAGAGGTCGTGGGTTCGATTCCTACACAGGACAAATAACTGTGTAATGAGCATAATATTTTTTCTGTTTCAGCAGTCTGGTTACTACCATAGCCCGTGCTATGGTAGTAACTAGACTGCTGATAAACATACTTATATATGTATTTCTAAACACATACATTTTATAGATGACTTACACCCAGACTCAGAACAAATGACTGTGCTCATCACACGATATTTGTCCTGGGTGGGAATCGAACCCACAACCTACGGTTTAGCAGTCAGGGTCACTTACCACTAGACCAAGAGACCAGTAAATAAAAAAACTACTCTTGCGTTGTACGTGTTTATTAATAAAGAACATCGACTGTTCTATTCGACTATTCAATTCAATTATACAATATGTTTCAACAGATTAGACGTTGGCGTTTCCATTATACACTGTCTAAGTTGTATTTTCTTACAATATCATTACATAATTATTCTAATGCCCTATACAATATATCCACATCCCTAGCTGTAAGGTTGAGTGTGTCCGGTGTTGCCATCATCACCTAACGACTTATAAAAGGATTGCGTGTTGCCTGTATACATAATTTGCAATAGTACATAGTGTGTAAAATCTATATTGTTATCTAAAGAAAACAAATTTATATATTTTTTGTAAAATTTAAATATTTATTACATGCAGAGCTGCAATCAGATCATACAATATATCCGGACGCCTAATATTACTGCCATACAGGTCGACCAAGTTTCGCTGGACTGCCATAATTAATACTGGGCGTTTTAAAGTCCAGGCCGACCAGGCCTTCCAAGTTTACCGGGTTGCCTAGGACGACTATAGTTACTACCAGGAGTTACAAATTTTTTCAAAATCCAATCCAATGCAGACCCTCCGATACCCAAACCACCAGACACTCCACCACTCCCACCACCAGACCCTCCAATACCCCAACCACCAGACCCTCCAATACCAAAGCCACCAGACTCTTGAATACTCTCATTACTTGACCCTCCTATACCATAACCACCAGACCCTCCAATACCAAACCACCAGACCCTTCACCACTCCCACCACCAGACCCTCCAATACCCCAACCACCAGACCCTTCAATACCAAAACCAGCAGACTCTCCACCACTCTCATCACTAGACCCTCCTATACCATAACCACCAGACCCTCCAATACCAAAACCACCAGACCCTTCACCACTCCCACTACCAGACCCTCCAATACCCCAACCACCAGACCCTCCAATACCAAAACCACCAGACCCTCCAATACCAAAACCACCAGATTCTCCACCACTCTCATCACTAGACCCTCCTATACCGTAACCACCAGACCCTCCAATACCAAAACCACCAGACCCTCTACCTTTCCCACCTCCAGACTCTCTACCTTTCCCACCACCAGACCCTCCACCACTCCCACCACTGGGCCCTCTACTGCCCAAACCACTAGACCCTCCACCACTCCAACCATAGCCTCTGTCGCCAGCTTCACCCAGACCTGAAAAAAAAAACGAAGGAAATTGAAGCATAATAATAATAAAATATGAAAGTGAGTTGGTTTGTTACGCTTTCACGCCTAAACCACGAAACCGATTAAAAAAAAGAACAGTGGCACTCCGGGATTGTCGACAGAAGTGAAAACTTGTAAGATTAAATTTTTTGGGTTGTAATAAGAAAAAAATTATAGTTTTAAAAACTAAAAAACACGCTTTCTAAAGAAAACCAAACTAAAAAATAGAAAATAAATTTGAAAAAAAGCTTGTTGTGCTTTTTACTATTGACAACAGGCACCCATATTTTTTATTAATATTTTTCTTTAAATTAGTCCTCGATATATCTACAAAGTATGAACGAATTCTGACCGTTTAAAGTCAGTCAAAATCACGCTCAAAGGAGTCGGTTACAAATACAAACAAACATACAAGGGAAGCTAATATAAAGCGTGTAAAAATGTTTTTTTTTTTTAAAGTTCGAAAGTTCCGACATGAATCTATCTAAATCTATGTTGTACGTATATACACAATTCATGTTTATGTTATATTATCAATGTATTTCAACCCAAACTCAACTCTCGTGTGGTGTCAACAGAGGTGTCGGTAACGGAACAGTGTCGCAAATTCATTGGTTGTTTCCCATCTCAGAAAATACATTCTTTTGTTTGTTGTTCGGAATGCCCACCGCGCCTAAAGAAGATTTCACTTCAAAACAGACACAAAAAAAAACACTTTCATTTTTCAACAATCACACACCAGAGTTATAGGTGTGGTGGGTCAGAGCCACCTTACAGTAACTGCAAAGTCTGTACGCAGGGTAGGGTTGTCTGATGTCTTATAGCAACGGTTGGCCAACCAATTTGGGCAAAATCGTACAAGGACGTACGCGGCGAGGATCAGCTCTGGAGCAAGTCGCCAGATGTGCTCGTTGTAAACCCATTTTTAGTTTAGGAAAAGATCTTTTTTGATTTCTTTTACAAGAGCCACAGTACAGTCTATGGCAAGATCTACTAAATAAAATATTATACCTTTAGCTGAAGAAGTATTTGTTGACCTGGAAACAAGCAATTAAGCATCTGTTTTAATCACCTCTCAATTACACAGTTTAATGAACATTTTGCGGAATTTTTTATTTCAAATTTAAATGAGATGAATTTCTGAGTATACATTTGTATGTAAATACCAGTTGACCTGAGAACCGTTCGTTTTGTATTTGTGGTTTAGGAATTTCCCAAGGAAGATTCAAAATATTTATTATAGTCCCAAGGATATTTTACGCTTAATTCCCATTTGGTGAGTCACCGAGTGTTGAGCTCTGTGGTATTGCTGACACGTAGTTGGTGTGTGATAGAAGACAATATAGCATAATACAGGTCAGTAGCAAAACGAGGAATCGATGTAGCACTCACCCAAACGAATTCAGCCAGGCTGATATTCGCGCTGGTTGAAGGAGATCTCTGAAAACAGACAACCTTTAAACTTAGAGTTGGGCAATTGATAATTAATGAAAGTTATTTAACAATAAAAAGATCTGTCAATTTAACTAACATTGAGATTTATACAGGCAGGACCGACACTACAAGAAGCTGATCAGAATCAGGCAAACTGACTACTGGAAGAGCTTCAGAGTCCAAAACATTAATCTTGACATAGTATAAAATAAAGTCGCTCTTGTGTGTTGTACGCTTAGATCTTATAAACTAAGCAACGGATTTTTAATGCGGGTTTTACCAATAGAGAGTGATTCAAGAGGAAGGTTTATAGCATATTACAGAAGAGAAAATCCGAAAATTGTGTGCGATTACATGGCAAACGCTGGCACAACCCCACAATTTAGACCAAAATAATGTACTACGGAATTGTATATCTTAAAAGGATCTACAAAATATCGGTTGTCTGTAAAGTCGGTTTACTGACGATAGTTAAACGTGATAACGTCATAAGAAAATACTGATGGAATGGTTGCATTTTTCAAAAATGTATTATTGTATACGAGTAGCAGCTGTCCACGCGGACGCATCGCTCACTCAAGTAGGAGAGAGACAGATATCGAAAGTTGGTGAACGCGGAGGCCGATTGTGCCTCTTTGTCGCTCGTTCCGCGCTCTCGCTTGCACTTCACGCCTTAAATGAAACGCCTCAGAGCGAGGTAACGCCGCATGAGTCATGTTTTTTCGTGCGTGCAGCCCGCTCCATCGAATTATAAGACGTTGTCACGTCAAAAAGTCCGCGATGATGTATGTCTATCTCCTAAGAATAACCCACAGTAACCATTTTTATCTTTTAAATATTACAAAAAGGAATGAAACTGAAATGAAATCCATGCAGACATTTCTTTTTTCCTTTAGCTTTTGGGTTTAAAAATTCAGTCCAATTAAGAACCTTCTGCTGTTTTGAGGCGCGTCGTTAAGAAAACCTGTAATAGTCTATTCGTATATATTCCTATTCACTGTGGCAAGCTTGATCTGGGTATTAGTTGGAATAGAATGAATGGTAATGAGTGTCGTTATATTTACATGAAAGTGTTAAGGGTGATCCTGGCGCTCGGCAGGTCCGCCTGCAAGTGATTTTCAATCTGAACAACATATTGCTTCGGCGATGTTTGATCCTCCGTCCCGCGAAGCTTGACCTGGACACGGAACACGAGTCACTATTAAGACGAGTAGACAAAAAATACCACGTCTTTCACATATGTTTAGTATGGATTCGATAGATGGCGTTGAATCGATCATCTAAATCGTGAAGTAGTTTCGTTACCGCCGATACTGTTGAGCTCGATGAAGTTTTGTTAATTATGATTCCACACCCACTTAACATATAGTAACATAGTTCATTTTTGTTGACAGGGTGGAAAATTCCATCGGATCTCCTCCTTGTTCCTTACTCTTTGAGGACCAAGAAATCGGAAATCTCAAGGTCCTTCCATGTAATTCCAGATCATCCCCGAATCAACACCACGCCTAACCAGGCCTTATCGATGGGAAAAGGGTTCCCAAGGAATAAGGCCCGGTTAGGGGTAAAAGTGATCATCGCCGCCCATGAACGTCTGCAACTCAGGAATCCCAAACGCGTTGCCGGCCTTTTAAAAGGAGTACGCTCTGTTCTTGAAGGTTAGGAGGTCGTATTGTTTAAACGATAATCCGTTCTATAGATTAGCTGTGAGAGGCAATGTGTCTCGAAAAGCGCACAGAAGTGGAGCGACAACTATCCAGGTAATGGGAATAAAAAAATTGCCGTGTGGAACGATGGCGGAGAGTTGCGGCCGGTATTAGTCTGAACAATTGTGCAAACTAATACTGGCCGCAACTTTCCGCCATCGTTCCACACGGAGAGTGCTCCGAGGAATTTGATATATGCGATAGATAATGCAGAATGCATTTTTAACTTTAAGAATTATGTTTCGAACTTGATCTCCGATTCCGATTTCGAATGCGATGCCGATGAAATAAATTTAACAGCTCTGATATCGGGTTCTAGTTAACTCGCCTCTGTAAAATTCTATGTATCTACCTATATAAGATACATATTAATAGAATTAGATCAAGATGTTAACTGAAAAAGATGTTAAGTAAATAAAAGAAATATAACATTTATTTCTAAATCACTTTTACAGTCTTCTGGCTAAGCTTTCCCAGGAAGTAATATTTCGATACTTGTGTTGGGAGTGACTCGCATCTTTCACTCGAGTTTGCTTAGATTTAGATAAGATATTTAGATAAAAGATACTTAAGTAACATATTTAGTAGAAATGGTACCTAACAAAACTTCAGCTCAATTTACTTCAATTACAAATGGGTGTGTGTGTGTGTGTGTGTATGAGTGTTTGTATGTGTGTTTACTTGTGTGCCCTACAGAGACCTAGTGGCTTGGAATCATATATTATTTATCCACATACAGGTAGGTATTTTAAGTATTGTATTTATGAATATAATTCTTCTTCATACGAAAGTGTGTTCAGCCAAAGTATTTTTACAAGGGTAAGCGAGCATAGGATATATATTAATTATGCGGTTTATTTTATTATGGATGTATGCAGACTGACATCTAAATTGATGTTGAGCGGAAGTGGTACGGACGGGAACAGTGGGAGGTACTTAATCTTTTCTTCTGTATGTCATGATTAAATGGAATCAATCTGTGAAGGGTTAATGTGAGATTTAGTAGAGTTAGAGAAAATTGCAGGTCAAGTATAGGATGTTCGTGGGGAACCTAAAGGGCTTTAAGTACGTGACCGATCTTCGTGCTCTTTCAACTTCGAGAAAGTGGGTCTTAGTTGCCCCACCCCATACCGGGATACAGTAAGTGATGACGGGTAGAGCCAAGGCAAGTCTAACATTTGTGTGTATGAACATTTAATGTTTGATTTGGTCTGGGTGTTCCTATGTATAATATTTATGTATTTACAAAAAAAATAATGTAAATATGTATTTATATCAGTTGTCTAGTACCCATAGTACAAGCTCCGCTTAGTTTGGGACTAGATGGCGTTGTGTGAGTGTGGTAGATTTTATTTAAAATTAGTTCCGTCATTACATATATCAGGGATTTAAAAGTCCAAAAATATCTTCCTGACTCTAGAAGTGATAAGATCAATTTGAGGATGCCAGCTCAGTCTTTGATCGACCATGATACCTAGATATTTTGTACAGCTGACTTTTTTAATGGGAGGGCAGTCACAAGTTAGTACATGTGGGTTTGAGCAGCAGTGTATCCTGATACTAAAATCAGATCAAGGCTGAGAGCTAATGTGGGGGGTAAAACAGATATTTGTTTTTTGGATATTTAGGGTCAAAAGTTTTTGGTTAAGCCAGTTTGATACTATTTTGAGACCGCACTCACTTTCTTCACTACTTGAAACGAGATACTAGAAAAACAATCGCCGTGTCATCCAGGTGAATATCCTACCCCCGCCAATATGAAGGTTACACAGTTCGTTCATATAGATAAGAAAGAACGTCGGGCCGAGGACACTCCCCTACGGGACGTCAAAACTGACATTTTCCTTGGAGCTAATAAAGGAGTCTATTTTTACTTCTTGTGTTCTATCATTTAAGTAACTGTCAAAGAGTGAGAGCGCGTTTCCACGGATACCTGGAGGTGTACCTGTGTCTCATTTTGAATCATTATAATTTTAGAGCTGTCATCCCTTCTAACGAAAACCTTTCCAAAAGCCGTCGAGCAGTATTTATACTTCTTAGTATTCACTAGGTCGAGACATAATAAGAACAAGCGGGCTCCTCTTGCTGTAAGTTGCTCTGATACATATATCGGTGTGTCCTCTTTGGAGGTGAACCCTTCCCTTAGATATACCTTCCAAATCCATGTTTTGAGCCCAGATTAGGGACGTGATGCGAGCCTTCACCTCTTCCTTAAAGCAGGATAACAGCTCAGGTATAGTATCTCTCGTGGTCTTTTGTAACGGTGAGAAACATAGTTTGGAGGAGTAGATGGTGTATCCTGTATGTCCATATGGCTACTACTTGATAATTGTTAGTCAGAACCATGTCTTGTAATTATATGCTGTTCGAGGATGGGTCCCATCTTGGTGTTTGATGGAACTCATAATAAAAATGCACTTGTAGGCCTAAATGTAGTCGAGCCGACGGCAACAATAATAAACGCAGTGGGTGGAGCTAATGCGTTTGGATGCAATCACTTAACAGTACAGGTGCAGATTCAGCTAGTTATCTTTGTCACACAGTGACCTTCTCGTTCATCCGCTAAGTGCACTCATAGGTCAGTGTGCTGGGCCAGGGCGGTCGGTTTCTAGTAGATAAGCACTTGACTGCACGGATGACGTAGTGGTTTAAGAGGTCGCCACGCCGCTTACTGCTACGCTAAGTGCTGTGGGTTCTATCCCCACATGGGACTACACTTTGTGTGATTCACAAATTGTTGTTCTGAGTCTGGGTATTCTTTGTGTCCGATTCATGTATGTTTTTAAAGTCCCCCGCGACACAGGATATACTTATTCCTAATGCGGGAGTTGTCTTGTCACTTTCTTGTCCGTTTGTCCGTGTGTCACCACCGATTTTCTCAGGAACGGATAAACCTAGCAAGTTGAAATTTATACCAGATACTCTATAGTCCCTAATAGGTTTATGAAAATCAAGGTCCTGAGTCAACACGATAAAAAGATATGGACAAATTTCGATTTTCGCGAAAACTTGTAAGTACCAAAATATACCTTAATTTTCAACTTTTTATATTTTTCAGAATTTTATCTTTACTTGTGCTCTAAGACCTTGCTTTTAACCAAAATTGTCAATTCTAGGTCAACCGGAAGTACCCTATAGGTTTTGGGTTGAAAACCTATATGGCGGTTCTCGTTGACCTAGAATCACTAAATTTGGCAAAAAGAAACATCTTACAATACAAATAAAGGCATAATTCCAAAAAATAAAAAAAAGTTGCAAATTAAGATAAATTTTGGTACTTACAAGTTTTCGCGAAAATCTACGTAAAATCAAGGTAGGTACGGAACCCTCGACGCACGAAGTCGACTCGTATCTGACCGGTTATTTTTTAAATAAAAGTTTTACGTAGTCACTTAGAACACGACCGTTCGCGGCGAACCCAATGGGGGAACGATTAACTATACTTTAAGATGCTTTCTACAGACGTCGTACTACTTATGTAGAGCCAAATGTTTACTATTACATCTTGTATAAGATCACTACCCGGTTAACACCATTTAAGGCACATACCTCAGAATTCCCCACAGCTATAGAGGAAGAAAATATTTTCCTCAAGGCCTGCCGAAGCGTACCCGCCGTCTTATTTTCCTGTATAAGGTACATTAGATGCAACGCAGTATCCGTGGTCCAATTTTTTGGATTTTCGTATCCCTCTGGCCTCGGTATTAGAGTAGCTAGAAGAGATAATGGGGTATTTTTATAATTTTGTTGTATACACATTGCATTGCTGTGGGCGATTGCTTAATTCATCGATCAATATAGTGGATATATTTAAAGTGAAAATCTAAAACAATAAGCAGTCAAGGAAAGAAGTCAAAGTCGGCTTTTATTTACTGGAGCCTTTTGTTAAAAGTTCTTAAAAAGACGTTTCGCTGTCAGACAGTCCTTCTCACATCCACTACATTAAAACGATAAAAAAGCAGCTAACATAACAATATCACAGACCGTGTAACTACACAGTCTGTATCTTCATTTTTACCTTTTATCTTTACAGGAGTACGCCTCTGACCAGTTTTCACGACTTTCTCTCGATACTGTTGAAGAACGCGGTCCATATACGCCTCGGTGTTTGTGCCTATAGTGTGTTCTACTGCCATCAACAGGACACCAACTATTGCAATTAATACCTGAAGAAAGGTTATCATCTAATATATATTTTTTGTAACGAAACTGAGTCGATATATATAGCGTCATACATATGGTGTAGGAAAGTGACAGAAACCCAGCACTACACTAAGTAAGAAACCCTTTAGTCAAGGTAGATGCGAGGCTTGAATGTGCATAGAGTTACAAAATCCGTACAAATCACAGTTGTCTTTGATAAAGATTAGCGTACTGTCGCGAAATTTTGATAGGGGAACAGCTACTAACAGGAAAATTGTGTTCCATATATTGTTCTACACCTAAACCAAAAGTTAACCTGTACCTGAAATGGAACGGGAGCCGACTTACTTTTTGAAGAATAAAAATAGGAAGGAAAGTTAAAAGATCATCAGATTAGTGGATGGTTTGTATGGACAAAACATGTCACTCTGCGATGCTGTCTTCCACACAGGTTAGCCTGCGTGGAAGACAGAATTTCTTTATGGAAGCAGCTGTCATAATTCACGATCATTAACCATCATGACTCATTAACCATTAAACGTAGCGAGCTAAGTCTAGTCTTTTTTGGGCATCACGTCCTATTCTGACACATCTATACGTTGTGTTGCTCGGTACAAACGCGACTCTAGGGTCTACCATCCGGTGTCATCACCAGCGCTGTCCACATCCAAGCCGTGTGTTTCTTACGACACAAATATTTGATAGTTAAAAGCAAAATATACTTACTTACCTTGCAGAACATACTCGATGCAGGCAGGTGTCTCTTGTTTCACATTGCAATTGCACAAATATGTTTTGATTTACAAACTAACACATTAATAATGTACTAGCATTATTAACGAATAAAACACTAATTTATAGCGGAAACGCAACGGTGATTATATAGTTACGACATGGTTCGTTCGAAAAATGTTTTAGCTATGTTTTCTTTTATATTCATCATCATCAACAGGGTCAAAAGTCGACTGCTGGACCTAGGCCTCTTTTTAGATAGGACGTTTTGGCCTACTATTCTACGCTGGCCAGATAGGTGCGCATGCACCCCATGCCACCCTGAGTGTGGGACGGGTTTTCCCCTCCACCCGCCGTAACAGCCAGCCGCAAGTCGGACGTCGACTAAATAGAGAATGTACCAGAAGGTGGTGCCCACCCCGTTGCGGGCAGGCGTTAGGAGGGGTCCGGGTGTCTTAATAACAGCAGTTCCCGGAGCCCTCCTATTGCAGGCGCAGAGTGGCACACCGTGTGGTTTTAGTCGGTCCGATTCCGACAGGCCACTCCGCGGTGGGTGACGGCCCGAGGTGGTTTCCCAACCGAAAATAAAAGGTTTGTTTCAAATTTTCCTTCTCTTTGCAGTGCTGTTGTACTGCGTAGTTTAGTTTAGTTAGTAGGCTCTTACGACTCCCACGGTATGAAGAGGGGTGGGACAGACCGTATTCAGACACGGACGTTTTTATATCGCGTTCCTCGTATTAACAGTTAAAAATTCATCTTGTACTCACACTTTTCAGAATTTTGTTACTTGTTAGGTGAAATCGCAAAAGGGTTTGGCTAATTTCTTTTAAGGCTGACTTTAGGAAAGTTCGAACCCTCATTTTCAATCCTTTTCGGGATGGACCAAAGAATAAGTTAAAGAAAGGAAAACTGACTAGACTGCAACTTTTTATACACTATTTTTATTGCAAACAATAAAACAACGTACTTGTTTAAACTTGGTATATTGTACAAATACTTAAAATTAGAAAACGGATAGTTTGTGCTGCCATCTGCATGACCTTCACGTAAATTACTCCCGCCTTTGACCCCTCCCGTACTTTTACCTCCATCACATTCACTTCCAGTACTTTCACCACCTTTGCCTAGGCAATTTATCAGGACCGGAACGTCCAGGTCTCCTAGGTCTACTACCAGAACCAGGCTTTTCAGGACTACTATAATCATAATCATCATAATATTCAAAAGAAGAATGACCGGCAGGCTTTTTAGGTCTATTGTCAGAACCTCCAGGACGTAAAGGTCGCCAAGGCCTACTGCGAGAACCACCAGTACGTCCAGGTCTCCCAGGACTGCCACCAGAACCACCAGGACGCCCAAGTTTCCTAGGTCTACCACCAGAACCACCAGGTCTTCCAGGACTACTATAATCGTAATCATCATAATATTCTGAAGATGCATCACCAAGCTTGCTAGATTTAAGAGGACTACCGCCAGAACCACCAGGCTTGCCAGGTTTTCCAGGACTACCACCAGAACTACCAGAACGCTCAGGTCTACCACCAGAACCTCCAGGCCTTTCAGGACTACCATAATCGTAATCATCATCATAATATTCTGAAGAAGAACCACCATTACGTCCAGGTTTCGAAGGTCTACCACCAGAATCTCCAGGCATTTCAGGACTACCATAATCGTAATCATCATAATATTCTGAAGAAGAACGTCTGGGACGCCTATGTCTGACACGTCTGCCGCCAGAACCACCAGGCCTTCCACGTCTACCGCCAGAACCGCGTGGACTTCCAGGTATACCACCTGAAACTTCGCCCTTGCCGCCACCGCCAGATCGAACAGAACCGCCAGAACCTCCAGGCCTTTCAGATCTACCGCCTGAAACAACGCCGCCACGATCTCATCATCATCATTATCATCAACAGCCTTTAATAATCCACTACTGGACATAGGCCACTCTATAGAGAGGAAATTTTGGCCTACTATACCTCACTGGCCAGACGCGTAGGGCTTGTGCCAAGTTTTCCTTCTCTTGGCAGGGCTGTTTTCCTGCATAGTTTGCTCCCTTAGTCGGCTCTTACAATACCCACGGTCCAAATAGAAGTGGTGACACTTTGTATTCTTCATCCGTCACATCACGATCTAATAAACATAAAACTATCGAAATTAGTTTATAGAAATTATGAGTATAGAAGGAAAGGAGGCATAGCATGGCCATCCTGCAACGATCCTGCCCATTAGGGTCATAAGCTGGTACCGCATAATCTTTGGGACAACGAAATTCCACCGTTATGTAGGATTGGCTCGAGAGTCAACACGGGACCCTCTCGTACCGGCTGACGCGGATGATCACCGAAAAAGGATGCTTCGCAGGTCACCTGTGCCTGATCCGAAAGGAGCCAAGGCCTAAGTGCCACCACTATGAGGGCCAGAGCATGAAAGCGGCGCTCCACACGCTGACAGAAGCGTGATTTCGTGACGGCCATTGGAGTCGGAATTCTCTTGCTCGGTACCATAGTTGCGCCAGGGCACGGATTGCTCTTGTGCATGGTATTGCTTTATTTTCTCAGTCCGCAGGCCGGCCGAGGGGTGCGCACACTGCGGAGCGAGCGCGCACCATTAGGAAATAGGAAACGTGATTCCCACACACAAGGTAGTCATTTAAAAGCCCGGGGTCCGTCAGGGTACCAGGGATAACCGTTCTAGAGTTCACCTGGTTCCCCGGCTACTGATACCCGAGACGGTGTGCGGTTTTTAGTCGGTTCCAGCCCGGTGGGTGGTAACCGAGCTGAGTTCCGCACAGAAAAAAAGAGCTCAAAGAGACGGTCACTATCTCCGCCGACCATTCTTACCTGTTACTGTAGGAGTCTCCGTTGACCTGGAAACAAATAATACAGTAGGTACTTATTTTATTTAGTTCTCAATCATTTGAATTTGGCGTAACATTGCCATATTATCATTTTCATAATCAAGCTCTGCGCCAAAGAAGAAAGACTTGTGAAAGGTCAGGCTTTTTGTTACAGGTAATGCGCTACCGCAATATTCCGTGTAAGAGCCGACTAAGGGAACAAACTACGTAGTACAACAGCATTGCAAAGAGAAGGAAAACTTGAAACAAACCCTATACCAACCCGTCTGGCCAGCGTGGTATAGTAGGCCAAAACCTCTTTTTAAGGAGAGGCTTATGTCCAGCAGTGGACTGGTCAAGGTTGTTGATGTGATGTGTGTGTGATGTTAATTTCACTTTCCCATATTTATATTAATCAATAACGATTACAGATTTATATTTTTAAATGACATTAGCTAAAATCATAAATTTACATGCACGTCTTGCGGTCGACCCTGGCGCTCGGCAGATCCGCCTGCAAGTGATTGTCAAACTGAAGAAGAGATTGTATTGGCGATGCTTGCTCCTCCGTCCCGCGGAACTTCATCTGGGGACAGAACACTCGCGATTAAGACGAGTAGAACCAATCTCCCTACTGAAGTATTTTCATATGGAGTTTTTAAATTCCACTGGTCTGGCCCCCAATTCTGCTATTTTAATATTGAATCAATTGACTATTTTTGCTGTATTCTACTAACTGTGTAAGACTAATAGTCTCAGGATGACTTGTCATTGAACTGTCACTGATATAAATTTCGTCGATGTCTTTGCTTTGTATAAGTTTGGTAAACGGTACACTGTTTTTGGAAGGAAATGAAATATTTAATTGATGAGCCACTATCACTACATCGGTAGTCTAGTGACACTGTGAATTTATGTTAGTAGAATACCAATATTTTGACTGATGTCAATGGCATCTCAATACCGTGTCAATGAAATGACAGTGGCTTGTACTGTTGAACGTGCTTTGTACTATCAAAGTGGGGCTTGCTTATTGTGCAATCACAAAATGACGTCCAAACTCCACCTGCCCGCCAACTGACCAGACCTGGTTGACCAAATTTGAAGCTAATTATCGAATCTGCGACGTGTAGGATTCATAGCTACCGAATTATTCGCAGGTCTAGTGCTATGCGCAGAAGTAAGTATTTTCCTCAAGTCCTGCTGCACCGAATCCGTCACCTTATTTTCCTGTACTAGATACATTAGACGGAGCGCAGAGTCCGTGGTCCAATTTTTTGGGCTTTTGAATCCTTTAGGCCTGGGTTTTAAAGTAGCTGGAAGAAAATTAAGAATTATTAATATATCATTTACAAAAGAGATATATTCTAAGTTTGTAGTATTTAGCGGCCTGTATTGATATATGGCACAATCGTTTGCAAACATTCTCTATGTAACATTCAGTGCAATAGAACTATTAGAGTATTATTACGAACCTTCCAGAGAGTTCATTAAATGCGAGAATTTGCGCTCGAATTCCAGAAACGACACACGAGACTGTGAACCATGTTTTAATACACTTAAGGTCGGAAATATATTGTTGCCTGAACTTTTAAAGTGACATCTTTTCAGAGAAAACCTTTCTGTTAACTTTCTAGATATTTCTCGGTCTAGTGAGTGAGTATAAATACGGCACGTCTTTGCAGGTAGGTTCAGTTTAAGATACAGAACGATAAACCTCGAAGTGATTTAAGCGAACAGAAGAGTCACCCAGCGACCTCAGCAATCATTTGGACTCCTACTTAAATGTCGATTGGACTTTTAAATGTGTTAAAAAGTATCTTAAGACAGGATGAGGTATTTAACTCCAAATATCGCATTCAATTCATTCAATAGTAACTATAGCTTCATACATCACACACACGGCAACCTAATTCCAAACTACGCAGAGCCTGTACTATGGTAACCAGACTGCTGATAAACATACTTGTATATTTTTATTTACTATAGAAGACAACTCCCGCATTAGGAATATATCCTGTGTCGCGGGGGACTTTACAAACATACATGAAACGGACACAAAGAACACCCAGACTCAGAAAGACAATTTGTGATTTGGTGAGATCACACAAAGTGTCGTCCCATGTGGGAATCGGACCTGCAACACTCACCGTAGTAGTAAGCGGCGTTGCGACCACCTAACCCACTACGCCATCCTTGCATTCTAAACATAATATATTATAAATGAATTACACCCAAACATAGAACAAATCCTCAACAATCCTCATCACACAATTATATGTCCTGGTTGAGCATCTAACCCAGGACCTCTGGCTTAGCAGTCAGGATCACTAACCATTAGACGAACAGGCCCGTCAATATCCTGATTATAAAAATTCAACTTAATTCAAATTCTGATTTCTTTAACGATGTGACAGTGTGCAACTGCACAGTCTATATTATCATGTTAACCTTTCATCTCTTCAATATTACGTCTTTCTCCATCGTTCACGGTTTCCTCTCGATATTGTTGAAGGACGTGGTCCAGATATGCCCCGGAGTCTGAGTCTGCGGATAGAACTGCTACCAGTAACACACCAACACTTGCTGCTATTATCTGAAGGAAATAACGAATATTACATTCACTTTCTATTGGTGTCTTTTGTACTCTCTTGTCGAACTTTGTAGCAAGAGGATATAACTCTTTTGCCCATCAAGAATCATCATCATCATCATCATCAAGAAGCATTATAACTATGGGACAGCCATGCTTCGGTACAGATGGGCTGGTTCTATTACAATAATACCACGGCGTCACAGAGAATCGGACGTTCATTACTTTTCACCGAGTCAGTTCAGAGGCTTACGGTGCGACGCTCAAATCTTCTCCTCTGATTTTGACGCATTATAGGCGCTTGGCTAGTCCATGGACGGTGGTAATCACTTCCCATCAGGTGCCCAGGGTAGGCAGAGCCCACGGCTATCACTTGATTCCATCCTTTCACACGCCATGTGCAGGAAGCACTGGTACCGAGGTTACTGTAATTAAGTGGTTCATACTTCGTACTTACCTCACGGAGCATATCGAGATAGCAACTCTTCCCTCAGAGAAACTTTTTACTGTACAACTATATTTTTAATTTAAAACTTAAGTAGCGTGTTAATGAGTGTTTCATGGTGTTTTAATAACTGATATCAGCAACGAATGCCTGTGAAAATAACGCTTTTAGCAATTCTTTCGTTGTTTCGTTTTCAACAAGTAAGTAAGTTTAACGGACCCCTCCCCCTCCCTCCCCCCTCTCAAAGTAGGTTAAAGAGCATTAATGGGTAATTGTTGTGGGTCCGATCCCCACATGGAACGACTATTTGTGTAATCCGCAAATTGTCGTTCTGAGTCTGGGTGGTCTCTGTGTCCGTTTCATGTATGTTTGTAAAGTCCTAATGCGAGAGTTGTCTTTTAAGAAAAAAAAGAGAGTGAGATTAACGGATACCTAACCTCTCCTCTCTTATTTTGGTAGGGTTCTTTCTTGTATTGAACACTTGGTTATGAGCATTCGTAGACCACTACACGACCCGTCTACTCGTTTACCCATATACCATAAGAGAAATGGAAAATACTAATGCCCAACAGAATAGCCCCGACTAAAAATGTCGAACAATACTTTCTGTAAAGAAATTTTAAGCTTTACCTGTGAAATTCGACGGATAAAAGAATAGAGGACCAACAAACAAAATATGGATGGTCTACACGAAAGAGAATATGACTAGAAGGTTTATAAATGACGAATAGTAGAGGAGAATGGAAGTAAAAAACTCATTGCGCCGACTTCAAACTCATTTGGAAAAAGGGCAAAAAAATGATGATTAGATGAAGGTCTCGGTGTTGATAGACAAACAAAAGACGGACTGTATTTTGCGCTGGTTTGTAATGTCGACAAATGGGTGCGTTGTACAGAGCAGTGATCCCTATCGAGTATATAAGGCGAGTGTATGTAATGGCCGTTGCGCCCGCGCCCCCGCTTCTTGCCTCCCCGTCACCTGCGCCGAGCGCCGTTAGCGGTTGAGTCGGTTGAAAGCACCGGCCTATGGCGATGTCGAGGATCGAGGTTTGATTCTCGACAGAGGGCAAATTGGGACTTAATATTTAATATCAATTAATATTTAATAAAAAAAAAAATACTTTTTATCTTATCAAATATAAAGGAAAACAAACATTATTATACAAAATACATTTATTTTCAACCTTGTATAGGTAACTAGCTACTATTGAGATATGTTGCGTAACTATAGTTACCAACGAACCTCGCTGAACACTTTTAGTTATTATTTACTAAACTACTGGAATACTTATTGAATACTTATAGAATACTTAGAAACTATTTCTTAAAATATATGTTTTGTTGTATGCCCGACTACGCCTGCTACTCTCGCTGCAGAACGCTTCACTATTTAAATACAACTGACTCGTTTAAAAATGCCAATATTTCATATAATAAAGTTATTTAAAGTTTGAAATTCAGCGACACAAAGAGCGAGCGAGCTTTACAGCAGTCGCATACGACGTGTAACATCTGACATCTGACAGACGACTCTAGCGCAGTGCGCTCATTGGTCAATTCAAATAGAGCGCGCTCGACAGGCTTCCTGTCACACACTTCCGTCCTTTTTCAAGAAACCACTCTAACAAATTGCAGAAAAGTGACATCAAATACTTCGATTATAAAGTGTTCAATAATTTATATTCAGATCTACAATCATAACTTTTAATCATGCTTATTATTAAAGCGTTTCTTTACAAATACTGTAGTAATTTCAACCAGAGTTTAAGCTCCATTAGTTACTATTAAACATTTAACTGGTAGTTTTAGTTTGTTTTCGATAGTTACTTTCGCAGCTATTCCTTAGAGAGACTCAAGATCGTACATGCGTTGCAAATATTACATCACTAGCCTTATACTAAACGTTACAACATAAATACGTCAGATTCACGATCACAGTCTAAGAAATTTATAAAAAAAAGACTAATTACTAAGTAATCTAACAATTATTTGGTTCTTTTTAGGTTAATAATTAAACTAAACTAGTCACATTGCCATCACAATACACTTGTATTAATAAATTACTTTTGTGTCTACAGCAACAAATACTATAGACAACTATCTTCTTTATTCGTAAACAAAGCACAACTTCAACATGGCAGAAGACATACAAGAAGAGAAGTTCTTGTTTTTTTAAATAATTATCCTAAAGTATATATAATTGACAGTCTTCATTGTCACAAATACAAAACACACTTATTTTAAGTACTCGTACATCAAGAAATTCCTGTAGTAAATGTATGTAAATTGACTAAAACTTTCGAAATATTCCATTTTTGCAATGTTTTGATAGTAAATGTAGGTTTTTTAATGTATATTACAAGTGTGTTTGTGTACAATTACTTTGTGACTTGGACTATTACTAAGTATGTCTTAGAGAAAGTGTACATTCATCACAAGATAAGGAACTTTCATTCAGGCGGCAGTTTGTGTTGCACAGCTCTTCTGGCATGACCGGTGGGTGTTATGAGGCGGAGGGTGCCTGCTGTTGCAGCAGTTGCCAGTACATGCCTCGCTTCTTCACCAGCTCCGCGTGTGTTCCGCTCTCTACCACCACACCTGGGAATAACTTCGATTTAGTACAAGTACAGGAAAGAAAGTTTAAACCAGCGATGTTATATGTGTAAATAACTTAAAAAGTGTTCTGAAAAAAATATATATTTTAGAAAATAAAACTTTATGTTAAAATTGGAAATTTCATAAGAGAATAAGCTAATATGATGGAAACTATAGGCCATTAATGTTACTCATTTCATTTAAAGTTCATTAAAGTTCAAAGAATTTAAGCAAACTTAATACCTGAATCGATTTTAAAGATTAATAAAAACAAGAAACAAACATTTTCTGAAGAATTTTAACCTTTTCGAATATCTTTTCAAAATTCTCTTTTTTTTTATTTTATTTTTATGACGTACACGGTGTCGCATATTTTTCAATGTTTTTTGTTTAAAGACATCTGCCGCACTAGGAATATATCCTGTGTCGCGGGGAACTTTAGAAAAACACATGAAACGGACACAAAGAACACCCAGACTCAGAACAACAATTTGTGTATCACACAAAGTGTCGTCCCATGTGGGGATCGGACGCACAACACTCAGTGTAGTCGGTCCGTTCGTCACAGCAATGATGGTGAAATGATGTCGTTACCTTTGTCGATGATACAGATGACGTCGGCGTGTTGTACTGTGGCGAGCCTGTGGGCGATGATGATCGTTGTGCGGCCCTTGGCGGCTACCTCCAGTGCCGCTTGAACCGTCTGAAGAGAAATGTTTGTTGTTGTTTAGTGTTACTTTCCGGTTTTCTTAATAAAACATAAGGTGTAGATAAGGTTACCTTAGAAAACTTTTTGGAGTTTAGGCAGTTTCTGACCTTTGTGATAAATAAATAAAAGAATAAAATGGGAAACCATATTTTTTTTAGAAATCAAGTTTAACTCGTAATATTATGAATATTCTGAAATTGTTTTAGTAGATATCAATCAAGATATAGGATTGTCAGTGAGTGTTGTGCATATTTCGCATAACCGTGGGAAAAATGGGAAAATTAGAGAGTGGTAAAGAATTTGTATTTTTGTTAATCTACAGCTGTTGTGTGTTTATTAAGAAAAACATGTGGTGCAGTACCTTTTCGCTGCTGGCGTCGAGCGCGGAGGTGGGTTCGTCGAGCAGCAGCAGACGAGGCTGGCGCACCAGCGCGCGCGCTATACCGACGCGCTGCTTCTGGCCGCCCGACAGCGCTGCGCCCGCGCCGCCGCCCACCAACGTATCGTAGCCCTACGACACACACAACATTACTTACACATCCGCATTTAGCAAGTAGCATCGTAATTTCTTAGCCTTTTCCTCGGTTTCACTCGCTTTTTTCTGGATGAAAGTTGGTAAGAGTTCAAAACGTAATAATGTCCCGCACTAGGTATAACACGAGTCGCGGAGGACAAACATTATTGAAATGAATACAAAGATTATCCAAACCCAGAAAATCAATTTGTGGATCACAGCAAGTGTTGTCCCATGTGTGGTCGAACCCACAACACTCAGCGCAGTAGAAAGCGGTGAGGTGACCGCTTAAACCACTACGCAATTCGTGCAGTCGAAATAAATTAAAATTAGCATTTCTATTGTTATAAGAATTGGGAAAATTCACTGACCATGGGTAATCCAGCGATAAAGTTGTGCACGTTCGCCTGTTGCGCGGCGTGGATGATCTCGTCCATGGGTACGTGCCGCGAGTTGTCTCCGTACGCAATGTTCTCGCGGATCGTACGAGAGAACAGCGCCGGCTCCTGCTGGACCAATCCCAGCTGTTGGCGCAGCTGCGGCAGGGTTAGGGAACGTTGGATGTCCTTGCCGTCCAGCTCCTGGAAAGCAGAATTCAAAGTTATGTATGGGTTAGAAAGTTGGCAAACAGCGAATCAGTTACGCAGGATTAGCAAATAGATGAGTTTTGGGCGCTTTGTATTGTGGAGTACATTAAATTTCATTTGGTATAACGTATTTAGTTGACACGTGTGATTACACTTTTTACATATAGTTAAACTTTAGTTATCCCAAGTTGCACATGCCTTCCTGCACGAAATTTGCTTACAAATGTATGAATTAGAAGTTAGACGTTAATTAAATTAAAATAATACATACAGCTTAAACTACAGACGAATGCGTCAAGTAGAAATTTATTCTTGGCCTTCTCTCCATTTTTTCTTTTTGTTTATAAGCTTTACTTTGTAAGAACTTACAATATTAGGCGTCCACTAGGCATTCAATTCAGGCACAATTTAACTGGTAATACTTTTAAATAAAATATCACTTACGATGTTCCCGGAGACAGGGTCGTAACTCCTTAGCATCAGATGCAAGAGCGTGGACTTGCCGCACCCGCTGGCGCCGCACAGCGCCACCGTCTGCCCCGGGGTCACCTTCAGCTTCAAGCCACGCAGTACCGGCACGTTAGGCCTCGTCGGGTAACTGAAGTGAAGGTCACGGAAATCTACTTCACCAGACGGATGCTGTGATAGACAAACAATGTTTCTTACATGAGAATGTTTTTTAAACAAATAGAAAAGTACAAGAAGGTTCTATTTTAGAGTTAAGGCTATCCATCTATTCATGTGGTGTGTGTCCGTATGGTGACGGATTAAGAATACAGAGTGTTACCACCCCTATTCATCCCGTGGGTGTCGTAAGAGCCGGCTTAGGGAGCAAACTACGCAGGACAACAGCACTGCAGAGAGAAGGAAAACTTGACATAAACCCTATACCAACCCGTCTGGCCAGCGTGGTATAGTAGGCCAAAACCTAATTTCTAAGGAGAGGCCTTTGTCCAGTAGTGGATTAGTAAAGGCTATTGAGGATCTATCCATGTCAAACTTTATCTCAAACCGTTTCATGTCAAGGTAGTAAAAATTATTGTAATTTTTTAATTAGGTTTCAGGTTTATTTAAGATCTTAGAAATTGTTACGTTATCTCAGAAATGAAGTTCGGACAGAGTACCGAGTACTCTTATGGGACAAATTAAAACATTATCATCATGGTGAATTAATCTCAGCTATATTCCTACTGCAGTCTGTGACTTCTGTAACCCAGGGTCAAGAACACTGACTTGCGATAACTTCACTTAGTAAGTATGTGGGAAAATTAAATTGTCTTGGAACTTACAACATATTAAATCAGAAGTATTAATATTGGACAAATTGGAATGTTAAAAATGTACTTGTCTCTTTAGCCAAAGGCTACAGGAGGTAAATGCATGAAAGTAACTCACCCAGCCTTTAAACTCTTGTGCAGTGTGTTCAGTTGTAACTTTTGGTTCTCGGTGCAACGCGGCGAGGATCCTAGCTCCAGAGCGCTTAGCCGCGGCGAACGATGGCGCGAATGAAAGTGCAGCTGCCAACATCCACGCGCCGTAGATCAGTGCCTCGGATACTCTACAAGCAAAGTTTAGAATTAGTATGTTTTTAACAGTATTGTGCAAATGATACTTCGGACAACTGATTTGAAAATGATAGACGTACATTGGTAAACATTGAAATGTAGACTAACTATTTCTATATAAGTACTCGTAATCAAAAAAGACCTGGCTGAGTTGAGAAACTAGTGTATTTTGATCACTTTTTAAAAACAATAAATACAACATTCGATTTAAGTATTACTTCAGAAGAGAAAAAATCGAAAAGAAACAAAATTTTAGACAAAGAGAGATGAAGAAAAAAAGAGTTGAGTGAAAAATTTGAAATCCTAATGGATATACTCACAGGACAGCATACTCATAGGGCATGCCCTCCCTGGCGATCAGGTATCCTCCGTAGACGAGTGAGACGGCGTAGCCAAGAGTAGGTGCGCACACGCATATGCCGTAGATAGGCCCACGTATGTAGCGAATCGGAGCCGAGCGCGCGTTCGCTTCCTCCAGTGACTCGCTGTACCGGGCTAAGATGCTCTCTTCCACACCTAACAATTGTATAAATAGATTTCGTGAATTTATACATTTGTTTATTTTGGCATAACAAGTCTAGTGCACCCCTAAGTTAAAACCAACACAAAACTCATGAATATGTGTGCGCGGTTTTTTTACGTACAACCATAAATAATAATATAATATGTTATGTCTATGTATCTATATAAATATACTTGTATATCTATGTATGTGTGTATATGAGTATGTATATGTTTATGTATGTAGTGAACCGTCTATATTTTTAGTTGGTATACCAAATTAATATTTTAAAACATGAGCGAGGTGTAATATACCACTCTTAGTTGAAATTAAAGAAAGCTTTTGATGCATTTGTGTAACTATTGTCACTATAAAAGTTCTGCGAGGCATGTCTACTCTACTCCACTGCTCAGTTTTTGAATAAACTAACAATAAGTTCATTGAACATTTAATTTAAAAACGGTTTTTGGACGTAATATTCTCTGATTGTATAGCTTCTCAGATTAATATTTGGAGTACTCCAGGGTTCCAACTTGTAACCAATACTTTAGTATTTGTCTGTATTTACACACTAAAAAAGAAAATGATGAAACATTAGGCTCTAAATTCTTTGCCTCATTTGTATAAGCATAACGTAAAAGGAGTCGTAATAATTAGAATATGCCTTAATTCTCCATATTGAAGAGTTCGAAGGGACAACACCAAGAATAATAATAGTCTCTTACCTAAGCTGTGTACAGTCCTGACGTTGATAACAGCCTCCGTGGCGATCCTGGAGGCGAGCTCCAGAGCCTTGCGCTCCTTGTTCTCGGCGCGCTTGTTTATGTACCCCTCCAGGTATATACTTCCCATTACCTGCACAAATGTATCATTATCTACTGGGTCCTCAAACAAACACGAAGAGATTTGGAGACCAGTTTAAAAAATGTTGTTCGAAATAAAAAAATAGTAAAAATAATTAAAGAAATTTGGTTTCTCTGGTCTTACTTTTACTGTTATAAAGTGGTTTCAAAGTAGAATAGTTGTAAAATAATTTTGCCCAGTGTTATTCAAACGCAACAGGCTACTCTCATAGTAAAGCATTAAAAAAAATACACTTATGTATAACTTTTTAAGGTTATTTTAAGGTTAGGTATTATATATATATATTGTTTGACTATAGTGATTAATTGAGTAAAAGAGTCTTCACTAAACTAGGCTCCTACCGTCATCCACCTATGTCGACAAGGTATACTAGAACCAAAAACTAGTTTCTCCAAAAGGACATTTTTTCGAACTATGCAATTTGTAGAGGCTCAAAGTTTTTAAGTATTTTCTTGTGTGTATAAATCTCGTAAACGAATACCCACCACAGGGACGCTGAGCAAAGAGACAAGAGTCATCTTCCAGGAGAAAGCGCAGGCAAGTCCCACGCCCAGGATCATGGTGCTAGTGCCTTGCAGTATCGTGCCCAGGCGAGTACCTGCGTATACATACATACCCTTATTTATTAAATATATAACAATAAACTTGCAAAAAACCTGAAGAGATTGATCTCTGCAAATACCAGTCTATATTATTTAAATTATTTAAAATTCTGACCCCGTAAACGTATTTTTAAGATCAAATTACTTAACAATCCTTATGAAATGAAAGCAATGTGAAACATTATCAACTGACCGGTAGCTCCCTGCACGTTGGCACAGTCCGTAGCGAGGCGAGCGCACAGAGCGCCCACTGAGTTCTGTGGCATATCGAACCAGCCTTGCTCCTGCAAAACATTTCAAATGAGTTAAAACGTTGTTAATTTTTACATCGCGATAGTTGATTAGGCTTATTTAGTACATCTTTCTCTACAATGTAGAACAACAGTGATTTCACAAGTTACCTGTTGAAGATAGTTGGCAAATGTGAGTTCCCTGAGACGGTCGGTGAGCCTTCCCCCCGCGAGGTTGAAGAGCCAGGTCTGCGCGAAGGTGACGGCCCCGCAAGCGGCTGCCACGCACGCAAACAGGCTCGAGTACAGGGCTGATGACGACAAAATCTCATCCTTGTCTGACTCCGCAAATTTCTGTGGTGAAAAATTTTAAAAGTGAATATTTGTAATTAGTCTTAAATACCGATGTAATACAGTTTCTTTACATTTGAGATACTAAGGCATTTAATATGTATTTGAGGCTTTGGTTTAGGAATAACCCTCAAGTCAAATTAATAACTTTCTATCATCCCAGATGTACTTACTCCATATAGCTTCGCAAACAACAACGCGAAGGTAGGCATGGTAGCTCCCACCAGCAGCGAGGCAAAAGCTCCCCCTACTAATAGAGGCCATTCTGCCGCATTCATTCGCAGGAGCGACAAGGTTGATACTGCGTTTTCTGCTGTAGACTCTTCATCATCAAGCTCGTCAGGTTCCTGATACCATAATACAATTATTATTTTGAAAATAGTAATGGTTATTTATTCAAAGTTAGCCGATTGTTTAAAGATTTAAATGGTTTAAGTCGATTACTTGTTGTTCTAGCTTTTTTATATAATATTTGATCAGAAACTGAAGGATGAACAAGATACGTTTATCCAAAAGTGACTATTGCTACAAAACAAAGTATTTATAAATGTTCAAACCTATGTAGTTAAAGTAATTATTTTGGTTTTAGGGTTTTGATGAAGTGAAACAATTCTATTTGAGCGATTTTTAGCGGAATTCACTAAACTCACGAGTGATAGAGGAGAATGTAAGAAGAAAACTCATTGCGCCGACCTCAAATATTTTTAAGAAAAGGGCACGAAGACAAAGAGGTGAATTCACTAAATTCTAATAGCTTTTAAACTTTCTTTTTACAAGAAAAATAAAATAAATACATATTATGGACATTATTCAAGTATATGTGACTTACCGGAAGTGCAAGCGCTTCGTGTGCTACTTGCGGCAGTCGCGCTGCACCCACGAAACTGGTACGTACGCTGTTGCGGACGAACTTGGAACCTGCGGGAGGAGGGCACAATTACAATACAAGAAGCATCAGCTGTCAACATTTTAAGTTAGTAGCCCCAGCGGTTTAGGTTCTTCGTTGATGAATCAATCATTCAGGTCAATTTGTATTATATGTATAGATTACATTATAATGTTAGAGGGATCAGATTTTTCGACAACAGCTAGTACAGGTACGCGATCCAGACCTGCTATTGCTTTTGTTTTAGGCTGTCAACCGCTTGCCTTCTAATGTCTTCCCTTCTTATATACCTTTTAAAGTTAAAAGCAAAACTATTGTTTAATTTTTATATCACATGCCTTTGCCTTCATTTGTAGGGATGCAGGTTTGAGGATGTGTATGTATGATAAATTGTTAGTGCTACTAACTTCTATTGGACTGTCGGGTACTGAGGCAGCGTCTGAACTGTGGCAGGTCTTCAACTTCATCGATGACGTCATCATCATCACCTTCGGCGTCAGCTGAGAGAGTCGCATCTATACTCCTGCAGATAATTTAAAAAAGAATTCCAGGGTTAGCTTTTGATTCAGATGAAGATAATATTAGTTATAATTTATGTTTAAGTAGACTAACGAGTACCATTTTCTTCTTTATTTGTAATTTTACTTGGTACTATTGAAGCTTTGGACTCATATTAAAGGAAAAAAAAATAATTAAATATGTATTGCTTTCTACCGATTGAGTGAAGTTACCAGAGCCCAAAGCCCCTTCCAAAGCCCCCGTTGAGTCTTGAGTTGCAAAAGCGAAGAAAGCATACGAGTATATTCATGAGTACTCACTTGTTAGTCATATCTTCCTGCACCAACTTGTAATACAAGCCTTTTTTCTCCATGAGTTCCAAATGCGTTCCTTGTTCCAGCGCAGCGCCCTGTTCCATATACACGATACGAGTAGCATTGATGATGGTGGACAGACGATGAGACACCACCAACGTTGTGCGCCCTTTGGAAGCTGCGTCTAGGGCTGCTTGTACCTGGATAAGAGAATACGTTTATACGTGTTTATTATAACAATTTACTTAAAAAACTCAGTGATGAATTGTAATAAACCAATCTTGGGTGGGGTTGGGGGGCATTGTTCCCGAAAATTTTAGAGTTTTGAGGTAAAAAACTACCCTTATCCTTTTTTAAGTCGGTTAAAAAGGTCTAGATTCTTAGCTTTGATTCTCAGCTTTCTTGGAACCTTAGATGACTCTACTTATTCCAGAAGTATAAAACAATTAAGGTATTTAAAAATTTGTCGTTATTTCCAAGATAACAATAAAAAATGACACATATTTTTGCTATGTTATAGCTTTTTTACATTTTGATAATTTAAGGTAATAAGCATTAATTGTGTAGTGTTCCTATCAGACCTGTCTCTCGGCTGCAGGGTCGAGCGCGGCCGTTGGCTCGTCGAGCAGGAGCAGCGCGGGGCGGCGCAGCACGGCGCGGGCGATTGCCACACGCTGCTTCTGACCGCCCGACAGCGACGCGCCTTGCTCGCCTAGCATCGTATTATACCCCTAAAGATTTGAAAGAATTAAATCAAGGAGATATAAATTATTTCCTGAAATGTAAAAATTTAAGTATTCTAAACTCTTATGGAATTTAATCTTTCTCTTTGTGCCTAGTACATGGTATATTTGATCCCATGGTAAATTATATTTCTTGTATAGACTTTTGATCAATTGCATCATGTGTTACTACGCAAAAATACACAATTTATGCGATAAGCGCTAGTCTAAATAATAAATGTTTATATAGATCTCACGTCCAGGCGAAGATCAAACTATATTAATTAACCACTTTCCTTTTTTTATTAAGCCCTTTTATCGGGAGTACCACAAGGTTCTTTTTAGGGACCTTTATTTTTCAATATTTTGGGCGCCAACATTTTAATGAGTTTAGCTCTGCTTTTTTGGGTTGGGTTTAGATAAGTATCTCAGATGTTATACTTACGTTTGCCAATTTGCTGATGAATTGATGTGCATTTGCGAGTTTTGCCGCTGCGATGACTTCCTCGTCACTGACTTCACCCATACCGAATGTAATGTTTTCTCTGATAGTGCCACTAAACAGCACGGGCTCTTGGCCTACCACACCTATAATACAGAAATATTTTATATTAGAGTATTATCACAACAAACCAGGAAGTATAAAATATGTGTGTACGAGTATATAAATATATATTTTTACCAATGCTCTTTCTGAAGTGATGCAAATGTATGTCGGAGAGTTTGTGCCCGTCTACGGTTATAGAGCCACTTTCAGGCTCGTAAAGCCTCTGTAGCAGTTGCAAGAGAGTGGACTTGCCACACCCGGAGCCGCCCACTAGAGCTACGGTCTCCCCCGCGCGAATCGTTAGCGTAAGTCCACGAAGTACCTGTAAAAAAGGTTTATAATTTTTATTTGGAAATTAAAGATTATAGAGATGCAAAAATTATAAAATTAAGTTAAGTGACAAAACTTAGAGACGAAAATCTTTAGGTCAATACCACAAAGATTTTGCCTGCGATTTTTCTATTAATCTTTATGTTAACACACCTTAACATCTGGCCGAGATGGATAGTTAAAGTAGAGATTATCAAAGACGATGTCGCCCTTGATCTTCTCCTGGACGCCACTGCTCTCCAAGGCGTTGATGCAGGAGCTTCTCTCAAGGAGGCGGAACAGCGAGCGGGCGGCACCTCGCGCACCGCTGAACATCTCAAGATGAGGGTGGCACATCGCCACGTTCTGCGCAGCTACGAACGTTAGCGACAGGATCTGTGGATCAAATAAAACGTTCAGATTTTTCTCTGAAATAATAGCACTGAAGTGATAATTTCAGAGAAATGATAAAAAAAGAAATGCTGTTTTAGAAAGTAAAGTAATTTATATGTCCGGCAATTATGAACTAAACACAGAAAAAACTCGCAGGATTTATATTGACTGGATCAAATGAAAATTTATGAGGATTCTTCTTTTAAATGTATAATTCCCTAATTCAGCCTAACCGATCTATTATATTAGCACCTTGAATAGCAGTAGCCAGGTTCTATCTTTATCCTGCATACCTAAGTCTTGGTTATGCAGCACCATATTTTTAGTTCTATTCTTTGCTGTCAGTGACTTTGCGGCATTTGAGGTGGAATTTAAGATATTTTAATATATGTTTCTTCAGTTTCACTTACAGTGACCATTACTCCAGGATGGTACATCTGTTGTTCTGGTGGTAGGTCCATATCTCGCACACACAGGATAGTCCCGTATGCGAACACGATGGCATTGAGTGCATATGTCAGTAGCCAGCCGAGACCAGAGCCCACGCCTGACCACAGACCTCGAGCACGTGCTGCATGTGTTGCGGACTGTAAAGATGTTTTGTACCTGTAACCAGATGGAATGTTCAGTCCAAGAGAAGAATTAAGAGAGAGAGAGAGAGTATGAGAAAAAGGATATTAAAAAAAAACTACTGAAATACTTATATATTATTGCAATACCTTTCAACTTCAAGTGGTTCTCCTCCGTAAGCTCTCACAGTTCTGATAGCAGACAACGCCTCTTCTACTATACGTCCTGCAGCGCCATAAGCTGTTATCTCTTTACTGGCATATTTCGTTTGATACTGTGGTTAAAAAGGTTTCAACTTTAAATACATAAATATAGAGACATAAATATTAGAATAATAGCAAAGGGAGTAGAAAATAGGTGAAATATACCTAATAGCTATTTTCTGAAAATCAAGTAATCGAAGACATTTAAGTGCAAAAAAAAGATTGTTTAATAGTCTCCCAGTAAAGGACCAAAAATAGATCCCTGTGGTACACCCGATTCGTGGAGTACCAAAGGACTCTATTCTCGGTAAAAAAAACACAGTCATATAGTACCTTAGCGACAACCATGGCTATGGCCAGTGACACGGGCACGACACTGAGCCCACTAAGGGTAAGCTGCCACCCGTAGCTGAGAGCCAGTGCTGCTCCGAAGATGACGGTGCCGGCCAGGTTAGCGGTCATCGCTACGTGGTGTCCTACCCCGCCCTTGAACTTCTCCATATCCCTGGAAAGAGCAGTTAAAACTCATAAGACAGCCTTTTCTTCCAAGCCCTGTAACTAATTCTAATTCTAGTCTTTCTTTTACGATAGAGAGAGAAAAACAGCACACAAGTCACCTGATGGTAAGTGACCATCACAGCCCATGGACACCTAAAACTCAAAAGGCACAAGTATGTTGTGTGTTGACGCCCTTTGAGTGTGCTTCTGCCTCCCCCCCCCCCCAGATTAAGGGGGAAGAAGCGCAATCTTCTAAACGACCAGGGAGAGGCAATTTTGATCTACAGTATTTAGATGCACAACGTACCTAACGTATTTATTTGGAAAACAATAATAATACTGTATTGCTCAAAATAGCTTTATTAATGACCCATTATATTTGTAAAATGTAAAAGATAAAACTGGTTACTGTGGGTTATCTTTAGGAAATAGATCTTTTTTGTAGATCTTTTCAGGATAAAAAAATCCGTAGTATATTATTTTTATCTATCTCTTAAGGTTTGGCCACCATTTGCAATGTAAGCGTATAAAAATATGTATTTTACCACTTCACATTCCTCTACTATAACATTATTGTACCTTCTACTATAGTATTATACATATACACGCCCCTTGAATCACTCTCTCTGTTGGTGGAAACCGCATTAAAATCCGTGGCATAGTTTTAAAGATATAAGCGTACAAGAAAAAAAGCGTCTTAATTTTTTACTATGTAGAGATTTTCTCGCAGTTGGGATTTTATTTGTTTTTAAATTAACTTGTGATCTTTACAGGTACGTCCTGGAGCGTACATCTCAGCTCTATTCAGATCTAAACTAAGCAGAGCTTGTATAATTTATTATATTGCCAAGAACTCCAACTTACTTCAGATTTAGTTCGTTGCGTTTAAATATTTCCCGAGTGTCATAACTCGGTGTGTTTGTGGGCCACTGCTGTTGATTCCAGTATACAGGAGATACAGAGGTGGACGTGTGGGGGAATTAAACCCGTTTAAAAAAAAACCCTTTCTTAATATACAAGGATACTCACTCAGTGACGGCGGTGGCAAAGTTCATAGTAGTGTTGGTGTCAAAGAAGGCGATCTCCTGACTGATCACCGACCGGAGTAGCCTTAATCGGAGACGCATCACCTGGGAACATGACAGAAATGGTTATAATGGGGTAGTTTTTTTTTATGGTATGGGGTCAAATCTGATGGTAAGAGACTACCGATGCAAATGGACATCTACTCCTGAGTCACAAGTGTTCCTCTCAGATTTAAGTGACTTACTCATTAAAAAAATACTTTTTCATATGAAATGGTGTGCTCTAATGATCTCACTGTCACTAAGTACGGATCTGGTTTGGTTGATAATGGTTTTTGGTTAAAATGAGGCAATCCTCGGCAATTAAAGGCACATGTAGTGTTTGAGTTGACTTTTCTTTTAATTATTAAGTATCGGTCGTTTTTAATGTAGCTCTAATTAATGGAGCTTTCTGATGCACTTAAAAAGCATTTTTGCTTTTGTTTATAAAAGATAACTCCATCACGAGGAGTATATCCTGCGTCACGTGGGACTTTACAAACATTCATGATATGGACACTAAGAACATTCGAGCTCGGAATAACAATTTGAGGAGCACACAAAGTGTTGTTCCATGTGGTGATCGAACCCACAATACTCACCGTGTCTATTTAATATCATTGTGTGAAACATAAGAGGAGGCAGTGACTATTAAGGTATAGGATTCCACGGGGCACAGCTACTCTATAATACAATTATTGATGATAAAAAGAGACTTACCATTCTGGCGGCGGCCCAGCCCACCAGGGCGACGGCAGCCGCTGCAGTCAGGATGTGCAACACGATGACGGTTAAGCTGGCGTAGCCGAATGCTATACTGTCTTCTACCAGCGCATCCATGTGGAGAGAACGGTTGCCTGCAGGGCTGGTAACAACAACAACATTTCTTATATTTCTTATCTATTCTAATATTTCTCTGAAGAATTTCGCTTCGAAGCTTAAGGTTCTTATTGAAAATTTAGTTTTAACGTTGGATAGCCCATTCATCGAGGAAGACTACAGGGTATAAACATCAAGGCTCATGCTACGACTAATTGGATCAAAGAAAAATGTTGCAAAAACGGGCAAAATTTATTCCTCTTGAGAGAAGAAGACGAGAGAGAGAGAGAGAGTTGTACGATGTTGCGCTGGTCAGTTAGTATTTTCTTTTGCACGTGAAGGACTTAATGCCTATGGTATTATCTAACTCCATCTCAACTAAATAAGTGAGCAACAAAATATAGACGAAGTAGTAGATAGTTGAAGAGAGGTACTAGAGACCAATAGCAAATTGATTGACATCCATTAAATATATTTGGGAGAATAAACCGCAGTTTTAGGAAATTATGAGATTTAACTTTCCTTCAGCTCTTTACACAATTGACTCGTTTAAATGTCCATGCAGCATGTCCAGCAGTTGACTACTAAAGGCTGTTGAGTAAATATACTTACATTTCTCTCCCACCTCCGAATGCCATCAATATATACGCATCACCGGTGATGAGCTGTTCCTTGTGACGCTGAACGAACAGCGCGGTCAGCTCACCGTACATGACGATCCCGCTGATGGTGCCAAGGGAGCTGAGCAGAGCTATCAGGACCCCGCATACTGTCACCAAGCGTTCTATCAGCGTTGCGTAGCGCCACTGGGGGACAAGAAAACATGATTGATTATAGACATTTGGGGTGGAACTAAAAAGTCACATATCTCTTCCCCCCCGCAGGGAGAAAGAATTACTTAGCAGTGGTTTTCTGAGAGGCCCGGGTATCACTCCTGTCGAGCCGGCCCATGTGTGCTGGAGCACACATGGGCCGGGCTATCCAGCACTCATAGGTCGGCCTCACTGCTTCTTTTCGTGTCCATGAGAAGTGGTAGACAACTACTATTACGTTTGCCTCTACACTATTAAAAAACTTAACTTCTCAGGATAATTGTATTGTATTGATCTGAGAGCTCAGAATTGAATGCGAAATTAACCTTCACCGATGAACTGTTCCCTCATAAACTCAATGGTCCGAACCGTTCATTCTCAGCTCATCTTCCGAATTTGTCTTTACTTATACTAAATTAATAATTGTTATAACTTAATATAATTTAAATTAAACATAAAAAAGCTCTCAAATGGAGATATTACATTGTTCCATGGGTAGTTCCGCGTACGGGTGCAACTCAATTATAAGATTGACTTTTAAATTATTCTTCCTGAAATCTCGTTAATATCCACTCAAACTTAAACATGAATTATTTCTAAGTAGATATACTTGTAACGCTATACAGCATTCACTTATATTTAATGGCATTTTATTATTATAATGTCGATAACAGTCTATTACTTTGCAGAATGTTTTATATATTTGTTTTGTTACAGGTAGCGCACACGACACAAAGAAAAAACAATAAAATATACATTAACTAACGTATCATTGGCTTTAACGCGATTATATCGTGAAAAATTGTTATGAATTGTGTTCTTCATTTCACAATTCCCCTCCCGAGTAGCTAGTTAGCTCCCGCTTCCTAAGGCCACCCTTACACATAGGTAACATCATACATAGGTAACCCACTCCTTATTTGAACTATACAACCCTTCATCCCTTGTTTTATCCCCTTAGGGGTGAAATTTCCAAAAGCCCTTTCTTAGTGGATGTTTCATCAGCTGCCAAAATTTCATATTTGTAGCCCCAGCGGCTTAATCATTCAGGGCGAGTCATTTTATATGTTATAGATCTAATCTTTAATGCAGTAGTAATGCTTTAGAAATAAGCCGCATTCGCCTTCATCATCAGCTTATCGCAGTCCACTGCTGGACATAGGCCTCTCCCATTGCACGCCACTTAGATCGATTTTGGGCTTCTCGCATCCAGCTCTTGCCAGCCATCTTGCGCAAATCGTCACTCCACCATGCCTGTGGGCGTCCTACACTACGTTTGCGCGCGGTCTCCATTCAAGAACTCGTTTTCCCCAACGGTTGTCGGTTCTGCCGCATTCGCCTCATTAAACTGTATTTACTCAGGTATTTTCTTTCTTTGTTTCAAACTCAGAAATCTTGTATCGCAACCAGTTGTGGATAAATGTAAATATTAACTGTAATACAACTGGTTACCGAACAACGCTAATACACTGTTCTGGGCCCAAGTTCAATGGTACGAACCTTTGCTAATTAAAGTGGCCTCATCAGTTGTTTCCGTTCCTTTGTTTATTATATAGTTTGCAAATCACAATAGTTTCGTACGCTATTTACGTGTGAAACAATTTAAGTAGACGGCATTATTTGCCACAGTCAAGGTTTAAAGTAGTTTGACAATGCATGGGAATTAACCTTTATAATTCATTTTGCCATAGTGTACGACTGTCTTAAAAGGGACTTTAACCGACTTAAAATAAAGGGGAAGGTTTAAAGAAGAATAGGATATGGTATTTTGTTTCTTTACTTGTCTGTTCGTGTCATAAAATAACTAGTCCATTAATAAACAGAGCGATGCGTCGCGTGAGAAACAGACCATTTTTTATTCGCATTGCACAAGTGTGCGCGACGTGGATATAATACCAGAAGCCCTTCAAGGGCTAGGGTTCCGTGAGCTGAGCACAAAACGCCTGTTAAGTTATATAAATTTGTATATTTACTAAGGTTAAGAATGAATAATTAATGTGATAAATTGTAATAAACGGCATTCTTTTATCATCAGCCTATCACAGTCCACTGCTGGACATAGGCCTCTCCCATTGCACGCCACTTATATCGATTTTGGGTTTCTCTATTCCACCTTAATTTTTCAACTACCCACCACCTCAGTTGATATTTTTTCTTCAAAATTAAAAATTTTCTTTAAATGACGTAGTTCTGAGTGCCGTAACTGTAGTGGTGCCAACAGTGCCTAAGCACAGGGAGCAGACCTTGGAGAGGCGGAAAATAACCAAACCAACGTAGAACGGATGCACAGAGCATTTACGCACGAGACGCATTTAGAAAGATACAAAAATACCAGCAAAATGAAAGATTTCTTCAATTTTTTTAAGTCGTTTAAAAATAAGGTTGGTTATCTCTCTTAATTTGTTTAATGATATGAGTATTTGCCGCGTCTTTATGTTAAACTACTAATAGTCACTTCTTAATCACAACAAAAGTAGGCTGACAATGTGCAATTTTTTTTAATTAGCGGTTGCGTAATTAAGTAGTGAAAGCGTGACAAACAAACCAACTCATATTCGCATTTATAATACCAGTTAGAATGACTGTAATTCTTGGTTGAATATGTTATCGAACCAACAATTGTAGTGATAACTAAAGACACATCACACACAAAGCCGTCTGATCCCCAACTATGCAGAGCCTGTAACTATGGTAACCAGACTGCTGATAAACATATTTCTCAATCGTGCTTCAAACCCACGACCTCTCGACCTCAGTAGTCAGAATAATTAACCGCTAGACCAACAGGACTGTTTTAAATTTTTTGATCGTTTGCCTCTCTCAAAAGTAATATATATATAACATTTTTTATTTATTTATTTATTTTATTTTATTTTGATACTCGGCTCCTATTGGTCGTAGCATGATGTTCTATAGCCTTAATCCTTCCTCAATAAATGGATTATCGAACGCTAAAAGTTTTTTTCAATTCGAACTAGTATAATAGTTCCTGTGATTACCATGAACATACAAACTCACAAACTTTAACTCTTTATAATATTAGTATGGATATTAAAGAATAACGGCAGATCCTGTACCCCCTTTTTTTTTTGTTTTTTTTCCTGTGCGGAAATCCCCTCGGATATCACCCACCGGTGTGGTGATTATGTCGGACTCGAACCGACCAAAAACTGCTCGCTATCTCGGGTACCAGTAGCCGGGGAACCAGGTGTACCCGAGAAAGGAAATCCCTGTTACAGATCCTTACCCCTAGTAACATATGAAATGGTTATGAGATTTGTACCATTTATAAAGTGAGTCATCCTTACTATTGTTCATGTAATTATTATATTTTTAGTACTTACTTTTTAAAATTGTGACAACTGCAATAACTAAACGTTCAAGTGTTGTTAACAAAACGCATTTCTACGTTTTCTAAACTTGCCATGCATAAAATCAAATCAAAAAAGAGCTCACTAGTATGTTTGGCAGTTAAAACCATACTTGTTTTATTAGTCTATATATTTCCTTCACGTATTAAGATATAGATTTAAATGCGGAACCCATTCCGAGTAATATTCCATTTAAATTCAAGTGCAGTAACCAGGGATATGTATAATAATATTGAGTTCTACGGACGGAGACTAGCCCACACAACGCAAGCCAAGAATCAGGTTCTGTTCCGTGGACGGGAGTGGTGGTGGGGGTTGGAATGACGACTACACACAATGAACCCTGGGTTAATATACTCACTGGCGACTATCTGCGATTCGTTTGCAGAAATTATTATTGGTTTGGGAATCCCCAGGACCATAGTTTTCTGGATGTAATGTACAGAAAAGTACTGTTTCCGAAGTAAACCACTCAAATACACAATCACGCTTTTTTCAAGGGATATACAGAGGTGTATAAAAAGTCTATCTTTTGCCGAATTTAATTTTAATCCCACATCCGTCAATCGGACACTTCAAGAATTAAATGAAAAATTGGGAAGATAATAATAATAAATTCACAAATCTTACACAGTTTGATCCCAAACTAGGCAGACCCTGTGCTATAGTAACCAGACTGCTGATAAACATACTTATATATATTTCTAAATATTATAGATAAATTACACCCAGACACAGAACAAATGAACGTGCTCATAACACAATATTTGTCCTGGGTGTGAATTGAACCTACGACCCCCGGCTTCGCAGTCAGTGTAATTAATCACTAGAACAACAGTCCCGTCAAATTTAGAAATAATTATTATTAGTTACTGAATTTAGATGGGAAGGCAATGGAAGCTACTTTAGTACTCGCTAAATATTAGTAAAATAATAAAGTTGATGCAAGGAACATCACATACTGGTACATGATGCTATGGACCAAGCAGAGATGATTGACCAAAACAATATGGACGACAACAGATATCAAGCAAGCTGCCGAAACACAATTATCTAAGATGATATCACTAAATTCCTCACACCACCAAAAAAACTTAGGGTTGGCAGCAGTCACATTTAACCGACTTCAAAAAAGAGAAGACTCAATTCGGTAGTATTTTTTTTAAGTTTTTAGCTTCAAACTCTATGATTTATAAACTGGCAAGAAAAGAAACAAAGTTGGAAAAAAATGGGAACAGTGCAGAAAAATGCATTATCAACATCAGCAATTATGAACTTCAACTTCAGCCTTCAAAAGTCCACTGCTGGACATAGGGCTCTCCTCAGAAAGGAGGTTGGGCCAGACGGGTTAGTATATAGTTTGTGTTACGTTTCCTTCTGCGTTGTCTTGCGTAGTTTGTTACCTTAGTCGACTCTAACGACACCCACGGAATGAATAGGGGTGATGACACTCTGTATTCAGGATGACGTTCAATTATATAAGTGAGAAAAAATTACAGTCGGCAAAATCAGGCATTTGCTACGTTTCTCGGGATGAATAGGGGTGGTGACACTATGTATTCTTAACCCTTAAAAGATTTTTCATTTATTTTCCTGCACTGTTCCCGATTTTTCAAAATGATG